GCCAGAGCCTGCTGCTGCCGGGGGAGGGAGGACAGCATTCCACCTGTGTGAGGTGTGAGCAGGTAGAAGATCTGCTTAGCCTGGTGGCAAGACTTAAGGAGGAGGTTGAAACGCTGAGGACTATCAGGGAGTGTGAAAGGGAGATCGACTGGTGGAGCAACTCCCTGGCGTGCCAGTCGGAACGGCTCCAGGGAGATACCCCCCGAAAGGGGAAGGACCCCCTGCCCTCTCAGAGGGGGATGGCCCGAGACACCCCCTGCCCTGTAGCTGTTGCGCAGAGGTAGGGGACCAAAAAGACGACGAGGGTTGGAAGCGAGTTCCAGTTCAGCATCATGGGAAACCCTCCCCCCTTCCTGCCCTGCTTCCCCAGGTGTCCCTCCGTAATAGGTTCGAGGCCCTGGATCTTGAAGGAGAGGTAGGTGAGAATGTGGGGCAAGGCCAGCCCACAAGGCCACATAGGAAAAGGCAGTCGACTTTGCACCTCAAGACTGCCTCTGATAAGAAAGAAAGGTCATTGTAGTAGGGGATTCCCTTAGAGGAACAGAGGGCCCAATATGCAGAGTTGACCCTCATCATAGGGAAGTGTGTAGTCTGCCTGGAGCCCGGATCAGGGATATCACTAGGGCGCTCCCCAACCTGGTGCACCCGACAGACTACTACCCGCTGCTGGTCTTCCAGACAGGTGAGGGGGAAGCTGCTTCCCGCAGTCTGAGGGGGATGAAGAAAGACTACAGGGCCTTGGGGCGGATGGTGAAAGAGTCTGGGGCTCAAGTGATCTTCTCCTCACTCCTTCCATCTTCCACTGATGATGTGGGAAGGAATGGGAAGATTCAGTTCATAAACGATTGGCTTAGAGACTGGTGCTACAGGCAGGGCTTTGGATTCTTTGATAACAGCTGGTTTTATAGGGCACCAGTCTGGACAATGACAAGTGAGAAAGGTTTGTCTCACAGAGGCAAAAGGATGCTGGGGCACAAATTAGCAGGGCTCATTTGGAGAGCTTTAAACTAGATTCGAAGGGGGATGGGGTTGTTGCTGGGCTTGCCCCAGTGGGGCAGCACTCCAGAATTGGTGAAGACTGGGAGGCCTCCTATAATCCTAGGGTGAAATCGGTGTGCTCAGCTCGCTCCCTGGAATGTCTGTACACCAATGCGCGCAGCATGGGAAATAAACAGGAGTTGGAAACCTGTGTTAAGTCAGGAGACTATGATCTGGTGGCAATTACAGAGACGTGGTGGGACAGCTCACATGACTGGAATATAGTCATGGAGGGCTATGTCCTTTTCAGGAAAGACAGGCCAGCCAGGAGGGGTGGTGGGGTTGCTCTTTATGTGCGGGAGCAGCCGCAATGCACTGAGTTCTGTCTGGGGACAGATGATGAGCGAGTTGAGAGTCTGTGGGTGAGAATTAAGGGGCAGGCTGGCAGGGGCGATACTGTTGTGGGTGTCTGTTACAGACCACCAGATCAGGGTGAGGAAGTTGACAAGGCCTTCTACAGGCAGCTGAGAGCGGCCTCACAGTCACAGGCCGTGGTCGTCGTGGGGGATTTTAACTTCCCTGATGTTTGCTGGAAGGACCACTCAGCAACCCAGCCACAGTCCAGGAGGTTCCTCCAGTGTGTGGATGATAACTTCCTCCTGCAAATGGTGGATGAGCCGACCAGGAGAGGAGCGCTGCTGGATCTCATCCTCACTAACAAGGAGGGTCTGGTCGAAGCAGTAAGGGTTGAGGGCTGCCTTGGTTGCAGCGACCACGAGATGGTGGACTTCAGGATCTTGTGTGGTAGGACCAGTAGAATACCAGGTAGAATTGCAACCCTGGACTTTAGCAGGGCAATTGCTAGGGGAAATCCCATGGGCAAGGCTGTTTGAAGGTAAAGGGGCCCAAGATAGTTGGTTGACATTCAAGGACTGCTTTTTCCGAGCTCAAGATCGGAGCACCCAGACACGTAGGAAGTCAAGGAAGAGGGCCAGGAGACCTGCGTGGCTAAATAGGGAATTGCTGGGTATGCTTAAGTGGAAGAGGAGAGTTTACAGGTCATGGAAGGAGGGGCTGGCCACTTGGGAGGAATATAAGGCTGGTGCTAGAGGATGTAGGAAGGCAGCTAGGATGACTAAGGCATCCTTAGAATTAAACCTGGCGAGAAGGGTCAAGGACAGCAGAAAGAGCTTTTTCAAATACATGGCAGATAAAACTAACACCAGAGGCAGTGTAGGCCCACTGATGAACGGGATGGGGGCCCTGGTGACAGAAGATACAGAGATGGCAGAGTTACTGAATGCCTTCTTTGTCTCTGTCTACTCTGCTGCAGGCAGTCCTGAAGAGCCCTGTACCCCTGAGACCTTAGATGAAGTCAGGTCAACGGAGCGGTTTGCCTTAGTCGATGAGGAATGGGTTAGAGACCAGTTGAGCAATCTGGACATCCATAAATCCATGGGTCCAGATGGGATGCACCCGCGGGTGCTGAGGGAACTGGCAGAAGTCATTGCTAGACCACTCTCCATCATCTTTACCAAGTCTTGGGAAACAGGAGAGGTGCCTGAGGACTGGAGGAAAGCAAATGTCACTCCAGTCTTCAAAAAGGGCAAGAAGGAGGACCCGGGTAACTATAGACCGGTCAGCCTCACCTCCATCCCTGGGAAAGTGATGGAACACCTTATCCTTGGTGCCATCTTAAGGCACATCAAGGATAAGAGGGTTATGAGGGGCAGTCAACATGGCTTCACCAAGGGGAAATCATGCTTGACCAATCTCTTAGCCTTTTATGAGGAAATAAGACGGTGGATGGATGATGGCAGAGCGGTGGATGTGGTCTACCTTGACTTCAGCAAAGCATTTGACACAGTCTCTCACAGCTAAATTGAGGAAGTGTGGTCTGGATGATCAGGTAGTGAGGTGGACTGTGAACTGGCTGAAGGAGAGAAGCCAGAGAGTTGTAGTCTATGGGGCTGAGTCTAGTTGGAGGCCTGTAACTAGTGGAGTGCCTCAAGGGTCAGTACTGGGACCAGTATTATTTAATATATTCATCAATGATTTAGATGAGGGAATTGAGTGTACTATCAGCAAGTTTGCTGATGACACTAAGCTGGGAGGAGTGGCTGACATGCCAGAAGGCTGTGCTGCCATCCAGTGAGACCTGGACAGGCTGGAGAGTTGGGCAGGGAATAACTTGATGAAATATAACAAGGGAAAGTGTAGAGTCCTGCATCTGGGCAGGAACAACCCCAGGTTCCAGTATAAGTTGGGGAACGACCTGTTAGAGAGCAGTGTAGGGGAGAGGGACCTGGGGGTCCTAGTGGACGACAGGATGACCATGAGCCAACACTGTGCCCTTGTGGCCAAGAAGGCCAATGGCATCCTGGGGTGTATTAGAAGGGGGGTGGTTAGTAGGTCGAGAGAGGTCCTCCTTCCCCTCTACTCTGCCCTGGTGAGACCCCATCTGGAATATTGTGTCCAGTTCTGGGCCCCTCAGTTCAAGAAGGACAGGGAGCTGCTGGAGAGAGTCCAGCGCAGGGCAACTAAGATGATTAAGGGAGTGGAGCATCTCCCTTATGAGGAAAGACTGAGGGAGCTGGGTCTCTATAGCTTGGAGAAGAGGAGACTGAGGGGTGACCTTATTAGTGTATATAAATATCTAAAGGGGGAGTGTCACGAGGATGGAGCCAGGCTCTACTCAGTGGCAAACAATGATAGGACAAGGGGTAATGGGTACAAACTGGAACACAAGAGGTTCCACTTAAACTTGAGAAGAAACTTCTCAGTGAGGGTGACAGAACACTGGAACAGGCTGCCCAGGGAGGTTGTGGAGTCTCCTTCCCTGGAGACATTCAAAACTCGCCTGGACACATTCCTGTGTAACATTATCTAGGTGTTCCTGCTCTGGCAGGGGGATTGGACTAGATGATCTAGAGGTCCCTTCCAATCTCTAGCATACTGTGATACTGTGAAAGGCTTTGATAAAGCTGTTTGTATTTGAAAATTCCAGAATCAGGTAATTTCTAAAAATATTTAAATAAAATAATTCATTTATGAAAATGCATTAACCCAGGAAGAGCAAAACCCAAAACACAAACATTCAGTATGAAGATTTTCTTCACAGTAAAAATTCTTTTAGGAAGCATATTAAATGAGACAAAAGCAAAAAAAAAAAAAAAAAAAGCATCTCATAATTTATATTCAAGGGCATCACATTTTAGAACAATATCTTAGCCATCAATCGTTCATAAATGATTCACAAAGAAATTAAATATGCTATTCCATAAGAGAATAATCTAACTTACAGTTTAAGATGTAAGGCTTCACTCTAACATCTCCTAGCCTTCCCACCTGACTCTTCACATAACCAAACTGAGTGATCTGTACTTGCCCTCCTACACCAGTAATGCAGCGTGGTGGTCCTCAAACACACAGGTAGTGTTCAGGTTTCATTTTTAAGGTCCAACAAAAAAGTATTACTAGAGAGTGTCATTATTATTTGTGTCAATAAAAGCAAATTAAAAGCTAGGAGAAATAAATAAGTTACATTTGCTTGTCTAAGACTGAGGGAATGGATTCAACTATACCTTGCAGAAAAAGTACCTATCTGCTGGTTATGCCATTGTATGGTTAGTCACTGTGCACAACTGGGACACCGCAACTCCAACTCACATGCTGGACATACAGTGCTCCCTTTAAACAAAGCACGAACTTCTGGTGAAAAAGTTGGGGGGGGGCGGGGGAATCAAGAGAACTATCCATCTCCATAGCTATCGTATGCATAAGAACTATTTGCTTTACAGAGCTCCAGGCTTTTTCAAAATACTGAATGTAATACTGATGACAATAATATCCCTTAGTATCCTTATGCATCAAGTACAAATCACAGAAAAACACTGCCCCAAACACTCATTTTCGACTACAAACCATTGCTAGAAATCTCATATTTGCAGCACAGTTACCTGGTATTGCAGTCAACACATTAATTCTGCAGACCACAGTCACAAGTACTTAGAATACAGATATGGTTCCTAAATGTAAAGTGAAGCTTTATTTAAGATGACAAAGCTTTTCTAACAGTGCAGGGTGCAAATTTTCAGTACGAAGACATTCAGAAGATTTGTTGCTCAAAAAGGATCTTTTCAAACCCTGGTGGAGGTGTGTGATAAAATTCACTGAACTGACAATCCAGAATGGCACTGTCATCAACTGCAGAAGAGAACCAAAAGAAGGAATCAGAGAAGGAACACTTACACATTGATCCTCTACCACACTGTCTTACTAAGTTATACACCATGCTCAAACCAGGAATATTCTCCAATTCATCCATTATATATATCTAATACATTTAAAAGACATCCCTTCAACAAACATGTTAAAGCCCTACACACACACCCACAGAGAGGAAATCATCCTTCTTTTCTGCTGTTTTCTTTAGTCAGTAATGGTCAATGGGAATACTACCTCTGATTTCACTATAAGCATTATCAGGGCTTTAGACCATTTCTTCAAAATCTTCTACTCTATTTCTCCAGAAATCTCCAGACTAAGGACACTACTGACACCCATGGCACAGGTGTCACCTCCTCAGCTGCATATTTTTCTGTCTACTTTCTAATTCTGCTGGAGTGCAATGATTTTTCGGGAGATTTACAAGGTTTCAGACGTCTGCAATGGTTGGTGTCAGACCATCTTTTTTAGCAAAGACCATCTGATGCAAAGCAAGCATCTTTGCTTCTTTAAGTTAGAAGTTAATGGTTTTTTTACAATACCCCTCCCAATGTTCGATCCTTTGCATAATCCGAGACGCGAGTGTTTCTACATTGAATGTAGATACACTTTCTAGAAAAGAAACTGCTGAGGATTTTCACAGCAAAGCCTTCATATACTGCATTAGCAAATGGAAATACCAAACCAGTCAGAAAAACAAGATCTCTTTCAAAGACAACTTCTTTCCAAGATGAACCTGGTACACTAGCAATATTAAAACAGAAAAGCTTCACCTTCATTATTTTGGCTTAGAATTTAGATATCTCAGAGGCAAGGTAGGAATTTTCACCTCCTAGGCTCAGTTAAAACTCCTACTAGTATATTTGTTCAGTTTTGCAGTACTTACACAGTGTTTGCATCTCACTTCCATATAAGTGCCTGAGGTACAGCTGCTGCAGAGAACAACCTTTAAATCCATTTTTCTGTTCTACATTCTCAGGCTTGATACTGTGTTTGCCTGCCCTATGATGTTTCTTTTTAAAAGGTTTCTGTAGTTCTGGTTTGAATTATGGATAGAGTAATGCTTACGGAATTCTCTTTTCTATGTTCAAATCCCTTCACATGATTAGAAGTAGCTCACGTTAAATTAAGAACATCTATAGTTAGAGCTTATACTAAGTAACTACCACAAAAAATTATTTGCAGACCTCAATTATTATAGCTACAAGTAGGAGACATGATAATTATGATGAAATTATGCCCACTTGTGGAAGATGATAGTAAGAGCTTGGCAATAAAAGGTCTGCACATCCTCCAGGCATGGAACTTCTTTAGTCAGAGAAAAAATTATTTATGGTAGACTAACATGCCACCAAATGTTTTCTGAGAGCCACCTGCACCCTTCATTCTATGTTACACTATTTCCAAAACAGAGGGAAGATGCACCAATGAATTACCACAGCAATTCTGCTGCTCATGCAGTGCTCGGCACGAGATCCCTCAGTGCTGCAGGGCAGTTACTGCCCGCAACAGCCTTTTAGCAGCGCCATCATGGGGCTTCAGAACGCATCACAGACAAAATTTCCACTCTAGCAACTTGGAAAGATAAAATTTGTCATGTACATTTATAGACTTCAAAGGCTCTACAACACACCTAGGGGATTTTCTTCCTGCTCATAAAATTCAATATTACAAATGTATCAATGGGAACATGACCACAGTTCATCAGGAACCAACCATGACAGGAAAAAATTATCCACATCACATAGCTAATGATATCCTGGCAGAGGCTACTACTTACTTTACAGGAATAAAGATAATACAGCTGGGGATAGCTGTAGATGTAACAGAGGGAATCCAAGGAGCAGTTATCATTTGCTCTATGTTACAAGCCACAAGTGTAGCTTTGATTACGCACTGAGTTGGGGGAAGTGATGCCTTTCAGAAGAGATGTTAAACAGAATTCTGACTACTGGGGAACTACAAAACAACCGCCAAGTTCTGGAAAAGTAAATTGTTAACACATGCCTTGGCCAAATTCCAATTTCCATAATTCATAAATTCTTTCTTAAACTGCCTTTGCATGGATTAATTGGATATGATATTTGTTTCTTGTTCAAAACTGCTGTGCTGTATTGATGGTTGCTGGCAAAACAGCTACCACAATTTGCTCACCAATTGCTGGATTTCAAAGCTGGGCATCGATTTGGTACAGCAGCAAGGAGCTGTACCACTACAGCAGCAGCTGTACTAGTGCTACATTAAAGTTATTACTTCCAGAAGAAAATACAAACAGCAATTCAGTATCTATTTGCATTTAACACTGAATGCATTTATGAAGTACGCGCAATTCACAGGCATAAATACCAAGCTTCAGAGAGAAAGCAGATTAGCCCACAAGTCTACATGAGTTTGAATTTGTTGTTTTTCTTTTTTCCATCTGCTTCACAATTTTTTTACCTGGCGATTTTCAGACTGAGTGCAGTAACTCCCCAACCTTCTGGACCCATACCAAGAAACAGTTTGAAAATCTCTGACTTACCATAGACCACTGGATAGACAGTCCCTCGGATTCCTGAAGCTGGACAATGCATGTTCTTCCCATTTAAATATACATTTAATTCTACATGGTCATATGTAATGCCCTAAAAGCACAGAAAATTAACAAAAACCCATCAACAACTTTATACATGTAAGACTGCTGCTTAATTTAGCTTTCTTAGCCACAGGCAACACCATTATGCAAACTGCAGCATCCTAGAAAACCTTGCATGAAATATTCCTGCAAAAGACTAGAAGTTAATAAACAACCAGTAACATTTGTATTTGCAGATACTCAGGATTCCTTAATGCTTACTCAGTCTGGATGCAGCACAGTACTGCATCCCATATCTCACTGGGTTTACAAAACAATTTTCCGAACTATTCTTCAACATGTTCCTTATCAAATGTTTAGGATATATAAAATTTTCAATTATTTCAATATTAAGCAGTTTGTGGGCTTCTTGTTTATATCTCCTCATGGAAATAACTAGTATAGAGTGGTCTGTCCATGCTTCCATACAGAAACCTCTCTCAGCACATTTACTCTGCCAGCAGCAGGAGATCATGGGTTCATATACAACACTATAAATATGTCAACTACACAGCAGAAAGCAAACACTAACTAGGTAATAAATTACTTGTTAGGTAAATGACTTCTGTCACTGTTTTGGTATGGCTGAGTGTGACCATCTGTGTTGTCCCTCAGTACTTCAGAAATCTATTTCTGTGACATAATAAAATAAATGAAAACTGGGGAATTAGCAGTAATACATCAGCTACTTTTCATAGAATCACAGAATGGAAGATCCCATCTCAATGTAGGATCCTTGTGATGGGAGCTATCCATCAGGTAGATACTGCAACTACACTGCAGGAGGGCATTAGAGGCTACTTTTCAAACACTGGCAAAGTCTGTCACTCGTTCACAAATACATCAATGAGAATGAAGACCACTGAAGTCCACTGATATCCAGGCTGCTAATCCATCCAAACACAATGGGACTTTGTATCAGCACTTCCCAAACTGGGAGATGCAAGCTGAAGAATTGTACTGAAATGGTCAATATGACCACAGAGCTGTAAATAAGGGGAATCTAGGAACATCTGGAAAGTAAAGGCTTAAGGAACTCACCACCACATCACCTTCCTGAGGAAGGTTGTTTGCTGGTAGTCTGTTTTTCTCCTCATTGTTATAGTAGAGAGCTCCATCATTTCTCATCACCAGGCTATGGACATCTCGACCAAGTGGAATTTGATTCAAGTTTGCTTTCTGAGTTGCAACTCCAATACCCCAAATCCCTAAAATGTGACAGTAACATGGCAAGAAAACAAACAAACCAACCTCATTATTTTGAAGACTGCCTGAATCAGGACAGAATACAGAATGCCAGTGCCATGGCCATACTACTACTATCTCTTGGACATAGCAGAACTATTGCAGGTTAGCCCTGGTAGGCAGCTAAGCACCAAGCAGCCATACACTCACTTCTCCCCCACAGGCCGCAGAGAGATGGTAGAAGAGGGAAAGAAGACTAAAACCAAGAAAATTTTTCTTGTGGGTAAAGACAAAAATTGTTTAACAAGCAAAAGAGAAGTGGAAGAAAGAAAGAAAACAAAACAAACCAAAAGAATGTAATGGCAATCACTCACCACCTCCCACAGGCAGACTGAGGCCCAGCCAATTCCCAAGCAAAAGATGGCTAACCTCCCTAAAGCCACTCCTCTCCCTTTTGTTGCTTAGCATGGCATTACATGGCATGGAGGATCTACTTGGTTAGATCAGGTTATCTGCCCGGTTGTGTCCCCTCCCCACCTCTTGCTGGAGGGTCAGAGTGAGAAACAGAGAAGGCCTTGATGCTGTGTAAACACTGCTCAGAAATAGCTAAAACATTAGCCTGTTATCAGTATTGTTCTGGTCACAAATCTAAACCAGAGCATCACAGGAGCTGCTATGAAGGAAGTTAACTCCATGCTGGACAGACCCAGTACAAGCAATCAATAGAAGTAACCAGCATGTATCCTGAAAAAAAAATCCAGAGAATTGTAATCACTTAGCTTAATTTTTATTCCCAGAAAAATACAAAAAGAGACTCTGAAACTGTAGGAGAATGTAAAAAATAAATCAAACTAGCATGGACTTGTGAACAATATTTCCTTTTCCCACTGGTGAGACTATTCTTAGGGAAAAAGAAGAAACTGTAAATATGACAGATCTTGATTTGGTAATGTTTTTGAAACTCATACAACATTGAAATAGTCAGATTATGAAAACATGGTCTAGACCTTTTCAGATTATGAAAACATGGTCTAGACCTTTACAGCAATATAAATGCATGACTGGTTAGAAAACTGTATTCCAGGACTACTCATCACGTCAAATCAAATCAAAAAAGATGATTCAAGTGGGGTTTGAGGTTTTGCAGTGAATGCACAAGGCCAGATACTGTTCCATATTCACATCAATTACTTGGGTAACGTGATGATGTGCTTGTTAAATGTGCTGCCAACACCAACCTGACAGGACTGCAACCTCTTCAGAGGCCCCTCAAGTTTTAAATGATCCTGACAAATTGGTAAGAGGTCTGAAGGAAAATGCATTTGCTTTTTCTGAATTATGAAGAACAGTAGGAACACTAAGTGGCACAAACACAATAGTGGCTTGGCAGGCAGCTCAATGAATATGATATGGGGGTTATCACAGACCACATGCTGAGCACGAGCCTGTGCCCTACTGTTGTGAAAAACTTCTGGACATATGGCACATGTAAAGCCAACACACTGTATGTACAACAGATGAAGGATGTCTACTGCTGCTGCAGTTTGAGCAGAGCATCCATTTTAAGCATCATATCTCAAGACAAATTAGTTCAATTAGAAATATTCTTGAACAAAACCAATCAAAAATGTAAAAACATCACCTATAAGGAGAATAAAAAAAAAAAAAAACAACAAACCAGCCTGGGGCTGTTTAATCTGGAAAAGACTAAAATGAGGCAAAAATATAATAAAATCAGTTTCAAAAGACAAAATTGCAAACCAATTTATTCTTATTCTTACATACCCAGGATGAAAAGGACAAAAGTGTGAACAAGATTCAGATTACACTCCTAAAACCTTTCCAATGGTCAGGGTGACCCCATAGATGACTTTCCAATAGTCAGGGTGACCCCATAGTAACACTTCTGGGAATCAAAGTTTTAAGTTAAGTGATCTACAGTCCTCCTGCCTTGAGGCACAGAAATAGACAAGACACAGCTTGTCTTGTCTATTCCTGTCACAAGAACCAGGAGAGTTTATTTCCTGTGTTTCTCAAGCAGAAGAACATGGATATGTATTTGTGTGAGTAATAACCATATATAAATAACAGCTGCTGTGGATTCTTGCCCGAACATACAGGATACTAAAATTGCCAAACTAAGACTGATCTGGGGTTTACATACAGTTTAAAACCAAGCAACTGGTTTGACTGCAAGGTGTTTTGGACCGATTTGTGTTCATGCTGCCTGCACTCCAACCCAACTGAACACAAATAACCCTTACCCAGAAAATGCCATATTCAAGCTCCAGCTGGTACTGTAAGGCCTGTCTGTCTCTGGACTAACACTTCCCTTCTTCCCTCTCCCTATGTAGTTAGGGAAAGAACCACTTCATTTTCACAGTGTCGTTTTTAAAAATACTGGGTAATTTTTAATGTCAGAAAACAGGCAAGCCTGGAGCATGCTCTGTACTAGTGAAGTTGACTGTATTAGTAAAAACATAATGCTTCCAAATTCCATTCACTTTCAGCTGCCTTGCACCGTATCTGTGCAAAACAAAGAAACAGGGTGCTGAAAGGCTCCTCTTGATAAGGCGGTGTTGGAGTAAGTGCTGCACATTTGATTTGAAGAGTGAAGTGTAGCACAAGGAGTGTTACCCTTGCTTGGGCAAACACAGTGCATGTTAAAAGCAAATGGAGGTAGACAAATAGCTATAAATACTGCTGGATAAACTGCACTATTAAAAAAATACTTCACAGCGACAGTATTTTATGGGGTTATAAGCATTTATTTACCAAAAAACATTTCTAACATATGCTAACCGAAAACCATGCACATAACAGCATATAAAACAATATGGTGTTTTTTTAGGGTGTGCACTCTTTTAGAATATACTTACTATGTTTTTTAATATTTCAGAGCCATGATAAAAATGAAAAAAAGATTCCTGTTACACAACGTCAGCTTATAGACCTCTCCAACATTCACAAGTTCAAGGATGCAATCAGAAAGATTCATGTGCTCGGCACTGGAGATACAACCACCCGCAGTCAAACCAACGCACCTTCCCGGTTTAAAGTTGTACATTTTTGCTGACTAACCTGTGGACTGGATTTTAAACTCAAAATAGCTCTTGTTCTGATGCAAAGGTGCATTGGCTAAACAGCCTCCCGTGCCACATATTCTTCTGCCGTTTTTAACAATCACAACATCTGTTCCTGCAAGAAGAAAAACACCCGCAAAACTTCAAAACATCTTTAGAAGTCTGGAAGCAGCGCTTAAAAGCCCTAAACACTGAGAACTGGTTTTGTTCTTTCTCCCCACGTAAGAGCTTCATTAGCGTGTGAGAACAATGATGATAGGCTATGCTTTGAAGTAGGAAAAGGAAGGCTGTTTATGGGGTAGTTCATCTTCCAACTAGGGCTTATTTATTTAAAATCTATACACTGCTCTAATTTTGCCTCTTGGGTTTCACGGCACCATGCTGATTACAACCTTTGCTCAGCCACATCAGAAGAATAACTTACTATTTAGTCAGAAAGGGTTCACTATGAGACCAGAACCCTGTACCCTCTCTTCTATACACTAGAGGAAATATGTCTGCCAAGAGAAGAAAAGGCACATTGGGCAGAAACACTGGATGGAACTGCAAGGTGTTTAGTTATTCTCTGACAAAATCCTTTTATTAGAAACATGCCTGCCAAAACAGAGAGAAGAAAAGAAGCCCTCTGCCAAATTTTTCTTCTCCAGTGGAACACTTCATCTTTAGGCACTGTTGTCACTGTGAGAAACATGGGAAACAGTCAAAGTTCACTGATACAAATGAATAAAACCAGACTAATAATTGAGTGGTTGGGATCAGCCACACCGCCTTCCCCCTAGCTCTTATCCCCTGTTCTGCTGCAGCTGACCCAGATCCCTTCTCTCCTAAACAACTCCCAGGCATAGCTTTGTGGACAGCTCATCCTCAACACGTGGTATGGCCCAGACTCCCGTGGCTCATTCTGCACCTTCACTGCTGCAACCCCCTGCTCTGAATCACCATCCCTTGTGGAATGACCAGGATCTTCAGCCCTATCAGGCTGCCTTCTCTCCTCAGGAAACCCCTCTGAGACTGAGGTGCACCCCTACATACTCATTCTGCTGATAAGCCTCGACTGAATTTAAGCCAAAGTGATATTTCTTCCTGAAAACCGCCAAATCCTTCCGAAGAAGCAGCCCAAAAGCGACTTCCCAGCACACTTCCCTGGGAGGAGAGAGGGCGCCTGGGGCCGGGCACATTCCCCCTCCGGCCAGTATGGTTACACGGTATTAAGATAACTCCACACCGCTACCAGCGCCGCGCCCAGGCTTCCCCGGTACAACCCTCCCGCTCGCCCCACAGGTCAGCCCCGCCGCGCCACGGACCTGCGGCCTTCCCCGCCGCTGCCAACCCTCACTCTCCGCTCTCCTTCCTTCCCCACGGCCCGTCACAAGCGGCTCATGGTGGGCCGAAGGGAGACCAGGTCCCGCCTCTCCCTGCTTACCCATGCGCTGCGTGTCGAGGTGCACCGCCGGCATCTCCTTTAGCGGGATGTGGCCGGCACCGCCATCCTTGCACCAGGAGAAGCAGCACCAGGAGAAGCAGCAGAACATGGAGGCGGCCATGACTGGCCGCTCCCTGCCGCGCCGCGCAGGCGCAACAGCGGCCAGTGTGGCGGGCGGGGCAGCCCCCCCTGGCGGGCGGGAGGTAGCGGGGCGGGCGGGCGTTCTTGCCCGTGTGCCCGCTCCGGGGCGGCATGGAGGGAGGCGGCGGGCAACGGCGCCCGGGACAGGCTGACCACGCGGGGCCTCGTGAAATCCAGCACGGCCTGAAAAATAAAATCCCATTAAACCTCCATCTTTCCTCAGGAAGTGAAAATTCAAATGGAAGCGAGTGCAGGACAGAAATCCTCTACTCTGCCCCTGTGGGGTAACGTGGTGCTGGCTTGAGGTGTCAGTACACAAGCCTCTGCATGCAGCCACCTAAAGAACAAGTTACACACACACACATATATATATATATATATGTGAGAATATATATCTACATGAATGAAAGAGGAAACTGATCATGATGGGCAGGTAGTGCGCGTCACATCAGCACACTCCACAGTGCTGGGCCACGTGGAAGGGCATGGAAATGTACCGGGCAGTTATTTCTGTCTCCAAGTAACAGGAACCCCATAAGAACCCCATTTATTTATTTATTTATTTATTCATTTATTCATTCTTTCCCTTCTTTATTTTAATTCTTTCTCAGAAAAGTCGACAGAGACAGGACTCCTTGAAGCAAAGGTTTGTGCAGCCAAGGCCAGTTACCATGGTTGCCTTGATGGTGTCTGCTCCTTGTGTGTTTCCTTTTCACCTCATCTTCCAGACCTGTTTGGCTTGTGAGTGTTAACTTCTCTGGGTCCTGTTTGCTTCTAGAGCACCTCCTCATTCATTCAGAAGCTTTGGTAAGTGTGAAACTGAACCGCAAAGACTGCTGCAGTGAAAAGCCAACATACTATCATTGCACGTAGCAGTTGTTTTGCAAAGCAAGCTTTGGAACCAGCTTTGCGTCCCTTTCATAGAGGCAGAATGCCACTTAATTAAAAAAGCTGTAGCTTTGCTTGTAGCCTCAGGTTAAACAAGTGTTTCTTTAGCAAAAGCCCTAGAGCTGTCCCTACAGCATCCAGAACAGGGGCCACAAACTGGGCTCCAACAAATATAACAAATAGTGATAACATGGCTATAGAAGCCCACCTGTATCTACTTCACATTTATATTTATCTACAGGCAAATAGCCAAGACATGTCGTGCCATAAATTGCTGTCCTAAAATGTTTTGCAGATAATTTAAATACTTACATTTAAAGGTCTGTTTCTTTCCAAACCAATTTGGGATAAAACTCTTGTTTCTCATGATTCCGTGGCATTTCACCTACAAAACTCCCTTACTGTTTTATTACAGTATATAATATGATGCAACTAATGTAACCCATGTGGTACAGCGTTGTCTGTCTTTAGGAGGGTAAGGGGTTAAGCGAATATTCAAAAACCCTTGTTAAAAGAAATCTTCATAGCAAGAAATATCTTATTGGTCTGGATGGGGTGTATCAGTCACACTTACCCCATTACTTGAAATATGAAGTGAAACACTTTCTCAAAATTGTGCCTAAAACCAATCTGATTTTAAGAGCAGCTTTAAAATATGCTTCCTTTCTTTTATTGGCCTTACTGTTGCAGCCCATAAACATTTGGGGTCAAGAGCTCACTTCCTTAAAATACGCCAAATGGGATTAGTCTTGAACTTCTAAGAAGTACATATTAGGTGGAAACTGATGTTTATTTCGTATGGAGGGCATCATGATTCTTATTGGTGGCTTGTTGTTCATGTAATTAGACCTATTTAAATCACTGTGGGATTTTTATTGTCTGTCACACACTGCGGGTTTGCTGCAGTAAATGCTGAAAGACAAATGTTAATATGGTTAAAAAAAACCCAAACCCCAAACTTAGAAGGGGACTCAAACTCCAGATGACTCCCCATCCCATTTTTTTTCCTCTGAGACCCAGGAAGTCCTTTCTTCCCCAAAAGAAGCACTGGAATATAAACACATCTCACCACATGAAGTCAGCATTGCCGAATCAGTTGGACTTCCAGGAGATGGGGCCTTGGGGAGCAGTGGCTGGCTGTGCCTTCCTGCCAGTTTCCTGCTCCACTTCTTTCTTAACTTGAGAGGCTGGTTTTACAGGTGAGCAGACTGCAGCACTTACGGGGTGAAGTACATGCCACAGCTTGGAAAAGTTGCCGGTGCTTCTTCGGAGCACACTGACTCCAGTGCTGATGCGCTCAGCAGGCAGGAAGCCTCGGAGGACCAAGGTCAGTGCAGCCCTTATCCCTGCGGCCATCCTCTCTCCCTGCAGGATTGGAGCCTGGCTGCTGAGCACCCTGTCAGCAGCTGGTGATACAATGAATTGTGCAGGAACAGCAGCAAAGATGTTTGTGAAGGCTCCAGTGCTAGACAAAATCAAGCAGATAATAGGTCCAGTGAAAGTAAGGCAAAAGTCAGCTGATAAGAAACATTGCTTATCCATATGCCTGTCTTGGAGGATGAGGTGAGCAATTCTAGCAGGATAGTATTTTATCTGTAAATGTGCTTGTCAGCCTGTTCAGAGCATATTTGAACACTGACATTTTTACAGTGCACATTTCCCCAAGGAAATGAAGATCTGGGCTCCAGTATTTAGAAGTATAACTGTGCTTGGTAATGAAGGGTTAATTCAGCTTCTGCCTTTCTTGAATGTGCATTTCTTTCACTGGGGAGGCCAAGTGTTTAGAACCCTCCCACACCGGAAGCAAAATTATGCTCAGCATGTCTAAACATGTTTGTTGCTCACAGGGTTTTAACTTTATTTCCTTGAACAGTAGCAGCAGAGACATTGTGTCTGGGAACCACGTTAGAAGAACAGGAAAATGACTGGTCCTGTCCATTTCACAAATGCAGGCGTATTTGGAGGTCCTGCCAAAAGAAAATGGTGGTCATTGACTTGTTTTGTTTTCTAGCTCACAGCTTCATTCAGAAAATACAACCATCTCTCATTAGCCCCGTAAAGTAGATCTATACTGCCTGCAGACGAGTATGTTTCAGAAAGGTTCCCTGATACCACCAAATTTGTGTGCAAGAGGGGAACTCTCTCACCCATTGTTTCAGTATGTAATGCAACACAATGAACCAGTTCTCAGAAAAATAATTCCTCTTCGTCCTGTGAGTAAAATCCTCTGGGACTTGCTTCTCTGCTGCCACAGGCTTTGCAGAGGCACTTACACCTGTGCAAACCAGCGAAAAAAATAGTGGTTAAATATGCTGGAATGGCTTTAGGAACATCTCCATGCAGCTTGCACAGAAGAAAATGATGGTGCAGGACTGGAAAATCAAGGTTTGTTTATTGAAAGCAGTCCCACTCCCAGGGTCAGGCCTGTGGTTTGGAAGATGATACAGACAAGGTCTCAGATGAAAAACAGGTTGTGCTTGTACTTTTGAAATCTTCATTATAATGTGTTCTTGTGAGGATTAATGTTCTGTAGAAAGTCTTCTGGTTTATACAGCTAATCTGATGCTTGCCAAATCATAGAAGAAATTGTATATGAAAATTAATTTTGTTCCTCGTTGTTCTATTTACTTTGGAGGTCACTGCTCCTTTCCTCTTTATGCAATCTAAGCAAAACCCACCAGAGCAGAGCTTTGATCTCCAGGCAATCACAAACCTCATTAAACTTGACAGGCACGCTGGCCGTGCTTTGTTTAGGAAGGAGCAGTTCAATTCCTTTATGGCATAAGACTGCTGAAGACTGGAAACCACTGCCGATGGCACAGGGGTGTGTGGCCAAGCACTGGGACCAGCGGGCTCATATGAGCAAGCACTAATTTGGGGAAAGTCAGAGCCATTTCTCGAGGGACTGCTCGCAGATGCAGCAGCAAGAGCACAGATTGGTTGCAGCTGTGTTTGCCTGTGTGCATGTCCGGGGCCGGAAACACCACACGAGAGCCAGCAGACAGTGGGAGAAGCAGTGGTGTATGGCCCTGAGAAAAAGCCAAGGGACAGCTTCTTCTGGGCAAGAATCCTTGCTAGAGCAGCAAACTTGGACTGCCGCGCAGCACTCCCTCCCATTTGCTTCCTCTGCATGCAAGGAAATGGGACATGGCTGTACATTCTTTGTAAATAAATAGGATTACGCTAAAGAGCTAACTGAATTCATCATTGATCCCCCCTCCCACTCCTCCAAATAAAACATGGCAAAGTGCTGAATATTAGTTAACTGTGTGGGTCAAAGTTCTGTACCTGGAACTACAGGGCTTGCCAGTACTGCTAAAATGGTCACTGGGGACCCTGCAAGTATCAAAACAGTCTCTGAAATTCAGACCTCAAAACAGCAGTTGATCATTTCCACTGCTGATGACCTTTCATGGATTTTTAATGCCTGGTATTTCTACAATGCATATTAAAAGTAGTTTTTATGGAATAATAACAAGAAAATGTATTCTCTGATTCCTCTTTTGGAGTGTCTAATATAGTCCAGATGTATCTGTTGAAAAGAAATGTGGTCAGATATGATATAATTGTGAAACATGTACATGAGTAAGGTGTTTGATACACAGAGCTGTTTTGAATAGTTTATTCGTGTTAGCTTACAGTGTCTTCTTACCAAGCTGCTATCTGCATCAAAGCTCTTGCAGGTTTATGTCTGTATTTAGCTCCTCACAGCAACTGCATCATACATGTCCGATTGTCCCTCTCCATTTGAGGGTAGGCTCACACCAGCATAGCTGAATAAAGCAGCATGATTCAAGTGTGATCAACTTGAAAATGTACCTGCTCATTGCAGGGGGGTTGGAGCCAATGACTTTTAAAGGTTCCTTCTAACCCAAACTATTCTGTGAGTCTGATTTTATGAAGTCACTGTCCAGGAGTGTACTCTGACAATTCTGCAATAGGAGGTGAAGCCTTAACTTCCTTCAGTGCAGCCAAGGGTAAGACTGGGAAATGACGCCAACTACCTCTTTTCTTTGGTTTTTCACTCTAGGAGACAGTTACAGTCTGACAGGTAGGTTTTTGATAGCATGGCTTCAGAGAAGCCTTACTGATGGGAAATACAAACCCAGGAGGACAAAAACCAAACACAAAAAAGCTGCTTTTAACTCCAGCTACATTTATCAATAAGTTTTGTTTTAGACATCTCCAGCGCAGCACAGGGGGTGCCTGGGGCCCGGAATGAGCAGCTGGTGTGGCCTAAGGGCAAGGCTGTGTTACTTTTGGCAGCAGCGCCGGCAATAGCTGGCTGGAAGGAGTTGTGAAAGTATGGCCTGTGGGGGCACTTGTGTTTTATGCTGACGTGTGTGCCGGCTGCCACCAAAACAGGCCCTCTCACTGGCTCGTCCTGGCACTGGTGGTTGCTCGGCTGCGGGATCAGCTGGATGCCAAAACTGATCCCACTAAAAACTTTTCCTTTGTTTTTAAACTAGATTAGCTTTCAGCTCTGTTGGCTAGCTGATCTAGCTTAACGTGTGGCTGCATGAATGTTGGAGCCAGCAGAGAGGAGGCATCAGGAAAGCATGACTAAGGGAAGGGAAAAGGATGGAATAATCTCTTTTGCCAATAGCACATCTCAGCTTGCCTTAACCCCCCTGAATCTACCTCTCAGGGTAAAATTACCTGTTACAGCTTGAGTCACTTTAACGGCTTGCTTCGACAGAAAGGGAAGAATCTTGTTCCTGTTTTCCTCCTCTCACGTTAGACCTGCTGATTGAACTGGTGTAACCCACTGAATCAGCAGGAAGCTCACCCTGGCAAAGAAAAAGGAGTAGCGTTCTGCTGGCCTAGTGGGTGAATCAGCTCAGTAACACATCTGCCAAGGCTGCAGAGCTGGTACAGGCAGGGAGGGCAGCAGCAGCTGGCTCTGAGGCCTCTGACTGAACACAGCACACAGCTTCAGGCTCAGAAATCCCTGTTGTAATGCTTAAGCAGAAGAGTCACAATCTGGGTTCTCTATGCAGTTTACAGATGACATTAGGCACTATCCCTTTGTCTTACAACAAACATGGTGTTTGTCTCATAAAGCTGAAGTTGCCATTGGTTTATAATTCCTTCCACACTCCTCCCTGTTTTCAACCCTCCTGTGGGTGACATCTGTCCTAATGCTTCCCTCCAAGTGGGCCTCTCCTTTGAGCCTAGATTTCCCTTGGGTTTGTTTCCTTATTAGATAGGGAAATATTGCCACAGATCTACTAACACTCTTTTGCATCAGCCAGAACTTTTCTCAGAAGCTTCAACAAATGGTCCCTGATGTTGCTTCAGGAACACAATGTGCTCTCAGATGTGGGAATGCAAGCTCATAAGCAAGCTGCTATCAAAAGACCTCTATAAACAACAACTGGTTAAAAAGAGTATAGAAAGATAAACTCATGTGTGTGCAAAACAGGTGGTTGTGTGCAACTCTAGTGATCAGATAGTAGTAAAATGCCCAAATTATATTTGATGTGCTCGGGACAGTCATGGAACACTTAAGCACGGCACTGGCTGGGCGCTGTCTCCATGCACCAAGAACAGAAATTCCATGCTGTGTTTGCCCAAGTTTAGGCTTTCATCTTTTGAAAGAAAGAAGTCCAGGCAAAGAGGGACAAGAACATCTTCAAATGAAGAGGAGATATCACAGATGGGCAGGCGAGTGACAGAGCACTGGAACAGGTTGCCCAGGGGGGTTGTGGAGTCTCCTACATTGGAGATATTCAAGGCCCGCCTGGACAAGTTCCTGTGTGATGTACTCTAGGTTACCCTGCTCTTGGAGGGGGGTTGGACTAGATGATCTTTTGAAGTCCCTTCCAACCCTTTGGATTCTGTGGGATTCTGTGTCCACTCATGCTGATACAGCTCCTCTTCTTTTATAAGGGGACAGAGTAGGACCAGTGCAAAGAATTAGTGATGAATAAAATGTACTCTAAAAATATCTCAGGAAAAAAGCTGTATGAGAAATGTATGAACTTAATAATGAGTGAGGAATCTAAAATGCCCTATTGTTGATGATGTTTTTAACCATAAAATCACAGAGAAGATTAGAAGAATCAGGAAGTTCTTGATATAAAAATGGCTGTTGGGAAAGTGTAGACCAGGGGTACTTTGAAAACATGAAGTACAAGCACTGGGATATCACTTGAACACAGTCTGGGTAGTGGAAGAGTGGATTAAGCTATCGCTTTTCAGAAACTGGGATGATCTGATGATGGACAGATGGACAAAGGAGATGATGGACAATTAGGAAGAAACAAGCAGGATGTTAAGAGCACCTGAAGGTCTTGGTTGCTTTTGTGCAGCAGCTCTGCCTTCCAGGGCTGCTTTCTGGTTGACAGCGGATGAAATACGGCAGTGTATGAACACTCTGAAGGGGTTTCCAAAAACACTTGTCCTTGATCCAACTGTTCCTGTTAAGTCCAGCTGAGAGTCCAGGCCAGGCATCAGGAGGGAAGGTGAGGAAGAGGAGACTGCTTCCTCTTCTGGCTGCAGTGAACTGGGGAACCACAGCTTCAGCATGTTATTGAATGGGTTTAAAATTCCAGGCTCCTAAACAATTGGCAGAAAGATGTCAGCTGCATGAGGGAACTCCGTCTGAGAGAAATACGGTATAGCCTGTGACGGTACTTGTGTGGGTACTCCTGAATGTGAATAGACTCCACTGTGCCGATGAGTGACGTGACTGCAGTGGGTGAGTGAAGAGCACGGGAGTGACAGGGGTGCAGGAGGCAGAGTACATGCGTTTGGGAACAGCTTTTGATGTAGTGTTTCACACAGTCTAACTCGGAAGTTCAGTTTGGCTTTGATGTGAGACTTGTTGACTTGAGATCTAACAGAAGGACTGCAAGGAAGATATAAAGCACAAAGATCCTCTGTGGTCTCAGCACTTCCAGCTGCGGTTTCACAGATCTGTAAGCTGAGGGTCCTCCCAGGCAGATGTGGGATCCATCGTGCTCCATCTCCCTGGGACTAGCCCATGTTAGGGCAGGAGACCTGCATAGTTATGAGAGGCCATGGTACTCTCTAACAGATTCATTGGTAGGAAATAGTACAGCTAGTGTGTTAAAGCAAATAGGAATACATCTCCATCCTTTTATGAAGCACATAAGGATACCTGGCTAAAATGATGTTAATTGTTTAATGAGTGCTTTCAGGATGTGGAAGATGCTCGTCCGGATCGCCACCCAGCAGCGCTCCTCCTTAGGCTGCGCAGCGCTCGCTGGGGAGCTGTAGCCTCAAGCTTAATTTGGCAGGGTTAATAAACAACAGAACCCCGTCAGCATCTCGCCGGAGACACTCGCAGGGGCTGAGGAAAGAGGCATCCACCGCCTGCTAGCGAGGCCGCCCCTTCTTCCTTCCCTTCCTCCCTCTGGGCAGCCTCGGGGGCTTTCTTTGCCTCCCGCCAGCGAGTGGAGGAGGAAGAGCCGCTGCAGCAGCGCCTGCCCCGGGGCCGGATCGGCGGCCGCTGGCCAAGGTGGGTGGGCGCACCCGGGCCGGGGCTGCGGGCAGCAGCTCCTGAGCCACCGACAGCTTCAGCAGAGGCCGGGGCCGCGGCCTGCCCACTCGTTCTGTGCCGAGCGGCGGCGAGGAAGGGCGTGCGGCCGGGCGGACAGCGGGTGGCGGCCCTCGGCATCGCCCGCCGCCACTGACCGCGCTCGCCGGGGTGAGAGGGGGCACCGGGCCCGGCCGCGCTGGGCCGGGCCAGGCGGGTCGGCGGGAGCGGAAGCCGACAGGCTGGGGCCCAGCGAGGGGGCCGGTCTGGACGCGGCGTGGTGCGGGTTCCGCGGCTGCCCGCTCCCTGCGCCCGCCCCGGCCTCTCCGCTCCCCGCGGGCCGGCATGGTGAGTAGCGGGAGCGGCGATGCGGCCCGCGCCCGGGCGGCGGGAGAGGCAGGCCCCGCCGGGCGGGTGAAGGCCCCGGCATGGTGCGGTCGGCGGGGGGCCGGCGCGGCCGTTGGTTCGGGTGGCAGCGCTGCTCCCGCCTCCGTCGTTCTGGGCCTTGCGGAGAGGGCCCCTCCCGAGCAGCGGCGGCCGGCGGGGCAGCTGTGAAGCCGGGAGCGGGGCCGGGCGCGACATGGCCCTCCAGGCGCGTGTCGGGGGCCCCGGAGGAGCGGGGCTGTAGCCCGGAGCAGGCAGAGAATGCCTGCCTGGGGACGGGGCAGCGAGCGCAGGAGCGGACGTTGGCGCTGCGCGGTCGGCATGTCGGGCTCTGGGGAGGACACCGTATGCCTGGGGCTGCGACTGCGCCGAACCAGGGTTGCTTGTTCCTCCGGGCCTCTCAGGCGTTCTGAAGGCTGAACGTGTTTGATCCACCTGGTTCTTCTGGAAAAAGTTTGGCCATGGTTTAAAGCATGGCCACTTTCCTCAGCTCTTTTTGGCCGCCTGAATACCCGCTGCACCCAGGTTTCGATAGTCCCATGTTTCAAGCCTCTACATTGACCCTCCATTAGGTTGTGGGTCCTCTTGATGGTGGTTAAGATCGTTGCTGCTGGAGGGAGGAGCTCCCATCACCGTTCCTCCTACCTTGTTTGTGCGAGACCCCTTTCTGGGCCGATTCAACACACCAGCCTGACAGAAAGAGGGGGAAATTGCTTGTAAGAGGCCTGACAAGGACTGGGGTCCTTGCAAAGGAAGGGAGACTAGAGTTCTGACTAGCTCAGTTGCTTGTGGAAATGCAGCATGACTCGATTAGGTTTTATTTGGAACCCTTACGCGCTATTGCAGGAAGCTTGTAATTCAAGAGCTACCTTCTTGTTTCGCTTGACGGCTGGTGAAGTTTGGGTTTTGCTTTCAGCCTGCTTCTGGCATTAGCCAGTGTCTGTGCTGAGAAGCACGCTAAATGAATGTCTCTGGAGTGTGGGGAAAAGCTACTGTGGTTATTTTTGCATTTATGTTTTGATTTCTTTGGCTGTTCATCTTCCTAATGATAAATTGTGCAAGTGGCTCTTTCTGAAGTGGGTGACATCTGCTGGATTTGTACCCAGAAAGCTCATGTAGCTCAGATGATGGAAAAAAAACCACTGTGCCTTTTGGGTCATGTGCTACGTGTGGAGAATTCCAGGGCCATCCAAACCTGCATCAGAAGTTACACAGAGAAACTCCCAGTGGAGAAGTTGAAATGTTGCTGCAGTTTCTCATACAAGGACCAGGTTGCTAATACAAAGGGATATTTCAATCCACGGATGACTTACTCGCTGCAATTAATGTCCTAACCAAGACGGAAGTTCAGCTGCTCCAGCCAGTCATACGGGTTTTCAGTATTGTTGGTTTGGTGTTAGTGGTGTTGTAAGAAGGGGAAAAAAAAAACCCTTGTAGACTTGCCCATTTCCTTTTCTAAAAATCCAAGGGTTTTAATGATGTCATATGATGGTTTGAAAGTTCAGTTATATTTATAAAGCGTAATTATTTAATTGGATAAGTGGGGTTGGAATGAAACAGAACAGTTTTCTTTGGATCCTGAAACCTTTTTGTGTATCTTTTTTGTATTTTTTAGGAGCATGAAAGTCTTCTGTGTTTGTCCTGCAATTTTAATGGAACATGTTGTAGTAAGCATTTTCTGCAGTGATTTGCAGTCCTCACTCTCAGGCATGCAGAGCTGCTTTTCGAGCTCCCTGAGAAGTGAAATCCTTCCTGCTAAAGGAGGTGGAGCACAGCAAATGTTTTCTGCAATGTGAATTTACATTTACTAAGAGATGGAGAACTGACCTTTTAATAACTGACATTTGTAGTTATTACTCCCTTAACACACAAGCCAAACCGATCTCTGTGCTATTGCTGAGGCTTAGTTATAAAGAGGAAGATTCAAGAGTACAGGGCAAAATCATGATCTTCTCATCATCCCATTCTATTTAGCTGTAGTAAGAGGATGGAAGAGAAGCAACTGGTGTTGAGAAGTGCTTCAAAATCACGCTCACAGAAACTGAACTTACTGGATGGGATCTGTGGTCTTGCAGGAAACCTTAGGTAGTAGTGGAGTCCTTAGAGCTTTTCTCTGAGGCTTTGTCCCTAGGTGTAATGGTTCTTTGGGTTTCTTCTGCCCAATGACCTTAGTCCTGAGGTTGAGTAGAAAAGCTGGCAACTTTTTCGAACTCTCCCTGTTCAAACAAGGGAATATCTCTCCTTGTCACTGGAAAAGCATGTGAGGTTTGCTTACACCTGTCATGGTTTAAGCCCAGCTGGCAACCCGGAACCGCATTTCTTGAGAATGGCTTTTACTGAGAAGTCTCACTATGACTGTATAGGTCCTCTTGTGAAAGAAACTCAGAACTGACCTTGCTTTTCTTACCTGTAGTGATCTTTGCTTTCCTTGGATCAATGGTATTGCTTTCATTCTTCTGTGCAGCATAAAATGGTTAGGGTTGGAAAGGACCTTAAGATGATCAAGTTCCAACCCTTCTGCCATGGGCAAGGACACCTCAGCCTAGACTATGTCACCCAAGGCTCTCTCCAGCCTGGCCTTGAACACTGCCAGGGATAGAGCACTCACAACTTCCTTGGGCAACCCATTCCAGTGCCTTAGCACCCTCACAGTAAAGAACTTCTTCCCTATAGCCAATCTAAACTTCCCTTGTGTAAGTTTAAGCCCATTACCCCTTGTCCTGTCACTACAGTCCATCATGAAAAGTCCCTCCCCAGTATCCCTATAGGCCCCTTCAGATACTGGAAGGCTGCTATGAGGTCTCCACGCAGCCTTCTCTTCTCCAGGCTGAACAGCCCCAACTTTCTCAGCCTGTCTTCATACGGGAGGTGCTCCAGTCCCCTGATCATCCTCGTGGCCCTCCTCTGGACTTGTTCCAACAGTTCCATGTCCTTCTTATGTTGAGGACGCCAGAACTGCACACAATACTCCAAGTGCTGTGCATGTACAAGCATGGATCTTCCCTTGCAGCTGTCCTCTTGGCTCCCATGTTTTCAACTTCATATTTCTTTGAGGGGACAGAAACCTTAGTAATAACTTCAAAACTAATTTAAAAGAGCTCATTCATGCGCCTTGCTGTCACAGCAGTACTTTGATGTTCCTTCTTTGTGATACATCTTTTCATTTATAAATGAAATTTTGTTACATATCTGTATTACTTATATATGACTGCATATTGTATAATATGGAAATAATTTATGCAAGGGAAGCATCTTTGTAATTATAGCTTGAAACTAAGTGAGAGTTTTGGCTAATACAAATTGTCACCCGTTTTGGTCTTTATTAGCTGTGTGTTTTCTTAGAGCTTGCTGGAAGTTACAAGGTGTCTGCAAATGAGAACTTGGCATTGGTTAGAGGCACTGTGAGGGTAGCACTGGGTCCCTTCACAGAGACTTTCCAGTTGAAAGAATTACATGATACATCCTCTTCATGTAGGTCCTGTCCACAGAAAGAAATTACTGAGGTGTGAATGCCTTAAGAGTGGAATTGGAAATAGAGATTGCAGATGAGTAAAACTGGTGAACAGCTTTGTTTCCTGTTGAATTATCAGCTGATCTTGGAAGTATTTTAACTTTGTGCTGAATAGCTGCACAATACCATGTTCACTTGGTTATTTAAGTATATTGCAGGAGCAAGAGGAAAGCTGACTTTTTAAGTGTGTGGTGACTCACCTTTGGCTTTGCAGGTAGAGCACAGAACCACATAACATACTCTTTAGCTGAAGAAATTTTGAAGATGGGCTTTGAAACTGTAAGGCCTGGAGGAGTTGAGCAAGTGAAGTGTAATTAAATCTTAGCAGGGCATGTTGGCTGAGTATCTTCTGTGAAAATCCAGTTTCTGTGTATTGTGTCGGTGAGGAAAGATATAAGTCTTGAACTGTTGTTATGAGTACATGAGTTGTTTTCATTCAGAGTCCTTGCTGGGTCTGGCAAGCCTTTTTTTCCCAGAATTTTAGTTGGGAGTCCAGAAATGGTTCTGCCTGGGCACTGAGCTGTTCTTGTGCCTACCATCTGGTGGCCAGATACCACAGCTAACTGGGCTGGCTGCGGACCCCAGCTGTCTTAGGGGTATATCTGTCTTAGAGGTACTGGAGAAAAAGGCAGATCCTTTTCTCACTGAGCTGTGTCTCAGATGCAGATTGTTTTTTGCATGGTTTCCCTAGAAGAGAAATAAATTTCCTAAGTTCCTGTTACTACCTTTCTTCTCTTTCCTAGGATATGATGGAGCTCCTAGAGGAAGATCTCACCTGTCCCATTTGCTGTAGCCTGTTTGATGATCCTCGTGTCCTGCCCTGTTCCCACAATTTCTGCAGAAAGTGTCTGGAAGGAATTCTTGATGGAAACGTGCGGAATGTTCTTTGGAGGCCATCCCCTTTCAAGTGCCCCACGTGCAGGAAGGAAACTCCTGTTACTGGCGTCAACAGTTTGCAAGTCAACTACTCCCTGAAAGGTATCGTGGAGAAGTACAACAAAATCAAAGTTACTCCAAAAATGCCTGTGTGCAAAGTGCACAGCGGGCAACCCCTTAACATTTTCTGCCGGACAGACATGCAGCTGATCTGTGGGGTTTGTGCCACCCGTGGTGACCATACAAAGCATGTTTTCTGTTCTATTGAAGAAGCTTACTCCCAGGAGAAGCGGGCCTTTGAAACCCTTTTTCAGGGCTTTGAAACGTGGCGTTGTGGAGATGCCCTCTCACGGCTGGATACCTTAGAAACCAGTAAGAGGAAAGCTCTGCAGATGCTGACCAAAGATTCGGACAAAGTGAAGGAGTTCTTCGAGAAGCTGCAGCACACGCTGGAGCAGAAGCGCAATGAGATCCTCTCTGACTTTGAGACCATGAAGCTTGCAGTGATGCAGGCCTATGACCCGGAAATCAATAAACTGAACACCATTCTGCAGGAGCAGCGGATGGCTTTTAACATTGCAGAGGCCTTCAAAGACGTGTCTGAACCCATTATATTTCTGCAGCAGATGCAGGAGTTCAGGGAAAAAATCAAGGTGCTTAAAGAAACTCCTTTACCTTGTTCCAGTGTGGACATCAGCCCTACAATGAAGAGCTTTGATACCAGCCAGTGGAATGGCATAAAGCTAGTTGATGTGGACAAACTTTCCTTGCCTCAGGAAAACAACACTCTTAAATTCAAGATTTTCTCAGTCTTTTCGCGCAGATTTATAGTGAATTCTCTTATTTGCTTGCTTATTCTTGCTGTCACCAGGATGTCCTTTGTGGAGTCAGTTGTTGACAATCTCCAGTGCTGGAGATCTCACTTCTTTGCAATTAACTTGTCCTATTTGGCAGATACGGTGGAGATAGCAGATCACGCAGTCTTTTACTGGGAACAGATGACAGATGGAGCTTCACTTCTAAGAGAAAAGTGTAAAAACTATACATTGGTTGTACTAGATAATGTTGCACAGTTTGTGTGCAAGTATAAACTGTTGTGAAGCCCATGCAGGAATAGGAGAAGTAAGAGAGATCTGGTGAGCAAAACATAGAACTTCTTAAAATTGATTGGGTTTTTAAGTCTTCCAGTGAAAACATTCCGAGATTCAAAATGTTTCCAAAACATTCATACAGTTCACATAGTTCGAGTGCTGATTAACTGGAAGATGAAATGAAGCTTTGAAAAACACATTGTTTTGGATTCTTCTTTTAGTGGTGATTATGGGAATATTATTCGCTGTAAATCATTCTTCTTACCAAAATATAGGGCGAAACTGTGTATGTAGTTTAATGTTAATTGTAGAATAAGATAAAAAGTGTCACTTCCTCAGAGGTCATAGTTAAAAACACTGTTTTTTACTAAATGGGAGGTGGTTGGCAAAGAGGAAGATGAGTTGTGACTGAGAAGAGCACTGTATTGAGGTTGGCTGAGGACAGCCCTGCCACTGCAGAATATAGTGTGCATCCTTCACGTTCCGGAACCACTTTCTGTCTGAGGATGTTACTTCTTCCTAGAACAGACACATGTATTTTTTTGTATAACCAGATGTTGTGATTATCCTGTGCATTCAGATTACTGTAGGTTGCTGTTTACATGTTCTATCAAAAAATGTATCTTCAGGACAAGCATAAATTCTAGGGTAAAGAGAAATCAGTTGAGGTTGGTAAGAGAAGAGCAAGCTACAAGGTAGTATGTGCTCTACAGGTAGTACATACTCTGCAGTCTACTTTTCCAGCATCAAATTGCAGGGATAACTGTCTTACTAAATTCATGTTTCTCTGAAGCCACACTTTCTTGAAAGTGGCCTTAATGTGTTTAGTGCAGGGAAAGGCATGCCTGGGTCAGCTGCAGGAAGGCAGCTTGCACTGTAGCCCTGTGAAGGTGGCAGGTAGAGCAGTTTCCCACTTGTCTCTGACTCCAGATCGTCATTCCAAAAGCCAGGAAAAATGATGTGATGATTCCTTGGAACAGAGTGCATAAAGTGACAGGAGTATGGATGTTGTTAGTGCTTTAGCATTGGAACATACATAGGTTCTTCTAGTGTTACTGTATTTTTGGGTACCTTGTTTCAGGAGTTAGTTGAATTTTCTGAGTGTATTGTCTTGGCCGTGGTTAACAGTGGTCTAGAGTGAACTGTAAGCTTGACTTCTTTGAAGTGCCCTTCATTAAGAGCATACAATACTGAGATGTATTCCTTGAAGAGCATCTAACCTCTTTTTGCAGTCATCCTGTGAACACCAATATATAGAATGAAAACACATAGTTGACTTTTCTGGGAAACAAACATGAAGTGTGCCATACTTTGGGGATATTCATTAGCCTCTCTCAAGGTTTAATAAGTTGTGACGGTCAATTCACTGTCTTCCAGTAGTCTTTGCAAGCTGTTCATTTCAAAAATGAAACATTAAATTCCAAGAATCAAAGTTTCCAAGCAACCAAACCCTGCAAACAAAGCTATTGTATGTGATATTTACAGCTTTGTTGCCTGGGAATACTGTCGCTGCTCCACACCTCACTCCAAACACTTGGTAAAATCACCGAATGGTTCTTGCAGCTGCAGATGCGTTGCAGTTCAGGAAAGACCAAGTCACAGACATATAGATCAGAGACTTAAGATTTGTGAGTGGCTGAGATAGCAATGAGTAATCGAGAGGTGGTGGTTCTGAGTGTGGGAGGGGTGAGATTTGTAACCAGGACTTCTACCTTGCAGCAGTTCCCAGAGTCCAGGCTGGCACGGATGTTGAATGATGATGACCAGGAATTTAATCTGGTGAATGGAGAGTTTTTTGTGGACAGAGATGGAACTTTGTTTACTTACATCATGGACTTCTTGAGGACTCTCCAGGTCTCCTTACCAGCTGATTTCTCAGACTATCAGAGGCTGCAGAGGGAAGCAGAATTCTATGGGCTCTACACTCTGGGTGACCTCCTGAGCCAGGAACACTTGCTGAAGCCAAGGCTGGAGATCTTGGAAGTGCGTTTTTCTCTCCAAGAGATGCAGGCCTTTTTCCGGATCTTTAGTTCCTGCAGTGCCACTGTTGAGACGCTAGCTGAACAGATCACAGTGTTCATGGGGCAGCAGTCAGGACAGAGCTGGAACAGCTGTTTTCCTTCTCAGAAACCACTTGTTCCACTTCCTTTGGAAAGACCTTCTCACCATGACATGGTTTTTCAGTGCGGTACTGACTACTCTGCTGGTGACCGGTTTGTGGCCAGGTACTCTCCCTTGTGTGACTTCTCATTATGAAGATGTCTTAATGACTTCTAGCTCATAAAGTACATGCTACATGCTAGCAAAGATCATTTTAAGGTAGCTATCGGACAGCTGTCTGAGAGAAGTAAGTTTCCTTCTTTCTGCTAGTTTAGTTTTATCTTTTTCTAGTTCTGAAATACTCAAGTTTAATTTGTTACACGGATTTGCCTGTTCTTCAGCTTTCTAAAATGCTGATCTTGATGTTTGGGTTTGAGTTCTCTTGGGTCTTTCTCTCCCTCTGCCCTTTCCTCCTCATTCGCTCTCTCAGGCTTTAGAATTCCATGGCATCAGTGACCTTTTAGAGGACTTGAAAAGCACAAGAGTAAAATCAAGCAAAGCAAACAAAATAAATAAGGAATGAAGTACTGGGGAAGCCTAAAATCTCTACTAGCTCATGATCCAAAAGACTTTCATATGGAAAAGAGGCAAAAGAGAACAGCTGAACAGGGCTGAAGACACCAGTGGAAGTAGGATACCAATTTGGGGGCTGAAAGCTTTTGTAGAACCTTTTCCTAGGGGGAGGGAGAAGGGGCAGATTATTAATTCTATGCTACACAGTGGCTTTTCTTTCAATTCAAGTGCCAGGTTTTGTTTTTATTAAGATTACTGTATATCAGTGATTTTTGTGGTGGCAGTATTGTATTCTAATGACAACTTAAATTTTTTAAACAAGCTTTTGCTGGATGCCTCTACTGTATGGAGACACGTTTTTACTGTATAACAAAATGTAACCTAATTTGTTCTCTGTGGCTACTAGAACATCTGGGATTTTATTGAAATATTTCCAAAAGGGTTATTCTGAGTATGTGAATCAACACAGCAGTCTTTTGATTTATAATAAAGTTTATATTCTAGCTTCCTTTAGCTAAGCAAGTAGAAGAAAAACTACTTTGCATTTGCAAAGCAACATACATTTGTGGGCTAGGCCTTAACTTTATAATGCATTACTCATTTTAATGGACCAACAACTGGTTGAGTAGGTTAATGGCAACTTAAATAGGGGAAAATATTCTTGATCCTTCACTTTATTTCTTTACACTTAGTAAAAGTATTCCTCTGCAGAATCTTGAGTAATGAAACAAGTTGAGTTTGATTATGTTGCCTGCTGAATTTCTATTGACTTATCCTTTGTGATGGCACATACTCTTTCACCTTTTTTGTGCTTTCTGTGATAATTTGTTGTACTTTCCTCTGAATCATGGAACAGTTTCACCCTTGTCAACTTATGTATTTTCTAATAGTATTTTTACCTGACTTCTGTTCCTCACAGTGTCTGGATAGATTCTTAAACTTACTTTATATCAAGTAGAATAATTTGAGCAATGTGAAAATGATTTTCATACTTCTTACCACAAGACCTGCTGTACAAGGTAACTTTGCAATAAATGTCACTGTTTGTAGAGAGATCCTGTGTAATGAAAAGTGGTGCTCTTGGGGTGAATGTGACTTCACTGTCCTTTCCATCATCTACCCTTACCTGAAGAACTGTTGTGGCATGATGTAGAGTGTTACATAAATGAAAAGAGGTGGAGGTCAATCACAGCTATTTCTTAAGTAAGTAAGTTTTGGGGTGGAGGTGAAAGAAAAGTGCTTCTTTCCCTACATGTAACTGGATGAGCTGGGAATTACTGTTCTAATAATGAGGGGAAGAGTTAAATTGTCCTTAAAGGAGGTAAAAAAAAACGTGGAACCTTGGTGGCCATAAACCCGTGCAACTGTGCTGACCTGCCCTGTCTGAGGGCTGGCTTGTTTTTATAGAAAGATCTATTCCATCCTTCAGGAAGTCACTGAAGTGTGTTGTAACTGATTATTTTTTCCTTATTTTAGGTATGTTTCCATAAAGCCAGATAACAGAAAGCTGATTAATGGTACAAACGTGCTAGGCCTGCTACTTGACACTTTACTCAGAGATGGATTTCGCCTCATAAGCACCAGGACAGTCTCTGGTGAAGACAAAGTGGAATGCTTCAGTTTTGAAAGGGTGAAGAGGCCAGCAGGCCTTGCCCTCACACTGAAGAACACCGCAGGGAGCTCCAGGGTGGCACAGGCAAAGAGAAGCCAAGTGCAGAAAGGGAAATAAAAGCTTTTATTTTCATCTGCTGAAGGTGGAAGAGGGGTGTGTCAGTGCTAGTGGCCTTTTTCTGACTTGTTTCAAACTGCAACTATTGAGGGAAGGAACAAACAAGTTTTTTTTTTTTCTAGTATTCAGAAGGAAAAAATTGCTTTCCTGCTTTTTACTACTCCACCCTCTTCAACTCTAAATAAAAGAACCACAGATTCAATACGGGTTTTGTGGACCAGATTCCACCATTTTCAGAGGTTGTTTTTTTTTTTTTTCTCTCTGGCTAAAATTCATATTAGGATTCACAAAAAATCAGCTGTTCCTGCTAGAAAAATCATTTCTATGTCCTGTGCTAATCTGCAAGTGGATTTTAAATACATGATACTACATGAGAAAATAACAGATCGACACAACTGTCAGCAGTTTGGAGAAGTGGCTGGAGGAGGAATGCAAACCTCAATGACTGAATATTGCTTCTGCTTTCAAGAGATGCACATACATACACTTAACTCTCTTGCAGTTAGCAGAAAGCAACGGAAGGGAAACACCCCAGGTTGTATTGCTGGATGGCTACAGGCATGAGAAAGTGGCTCTGTGAAGCCACAAATAGTGAGTCATGAAATAACATGTTACTACTGTCTCTTGCAGAATACTCCTCTGTCCTCTCCTCCCACTCCAAAGGCATTAAACTGCTCTGTAGTGCTGAGAATGAAATGATAAAGTTCTTTGTGAACAAAGGGTCAGCTGATTTCTAGAGCTATACAAGATTTTTAGAACTATGAACAGAATGAAAATGTGATAAACAGTCCCTCAGATGGGAGAATTAGTACAATTTTAAGCATAGTACAAAGGATTAAGAAACTTGTCAAGTGCAAAACATATTTAGGAGGAAGGCTTGGCAGAAGTGGCTTTAAAAGCCTTGTGAATATCAGCCCTGTACAATGCTTTGTAAAGATGCCAAAATTAGCTCAAGTACCAGGAGAGGTAAGTTAATGAGGCCTTAGAAATAAAAATCTTTTGTCCTTCCTTCAAGACAGGGAAAGACAGCAATAACTTCAAGGGTTCATTATTTGAATCTGAATTTTGATGTTGATAAACCACCATCTTCCCAAAGTTACAGCCGAGTAGAGACCTGCCTTTTCATTAGCTTTAAAGTGTGAATTTATAACTTTATTTGCAGCACTTAAAAATGGGGTGGGTAGTGGAAATCACCCGTCTGTTTCTTGCCCTTAGGAGTTTCCATGAATTGGATTTTCCCAGGCTGGTGGTGCCGCTATCAGGCAGCTATTTTCTTTTGCAGTGCATTTTAGCTTAACACAAGTTCAGAAGTTCAATGGCAACAATGAGGTCCTCTTTCTCCAGAGCCTTCTGGGTTGAGATTAATGTGATTATGGGACTACAGCTCTTAAACTGCTTACAAGTTTTATAATGTAATAAATGTTCAGGAACATTAGAGTGGATGCTTTCAGTTCAAATGGGATTTTTTTTGTCAATAATGTCGATATGTTCATCTTGATACATGTTTTACTGTGAGAACCATCATTCACTGGAACAACCTCCCCAGGGATGTGATGGAGTCCCCATTGCAGAAGATTTTCAAGATGTGGTTGGAGAGGATGTGAAATGATCTCCCCTGGGCTCCCTTTCCCACCAAAGGCTGGACAGGTGATCATTTCAGGTCCCTCCCACCCCAGCCTGTTCTGTGAAGACCTGTGAAGGTCTGTGTCAGAAAGCCTATTGTGGTGACCTTCGAAAGGTCAGTTTGCTGAGGGCAGCATTTGGGTGACACAGCAGACAAGCTGTATGGGGTGACTGTTGTGACAGGTTGCTGTGCTACAAAGACAGCACTAGTTTTCCAAGTTCATTTTGAGGTCCATGTACTGACTTTCCAGGAAAGTTCCCATTCCTCAACTTGAGATAAAACTGAAACTATTAATGACAGGTATTGAAGGGGTGAGTGACTGTGAATATTGCTGGTGAAGAGGCTTACCAACAACAGCAAGAAGCACAAGACAAAAATGACAGTTTTCTAGAGGGAAAGGAAAAAAAAGGGATTTGAAGCTGTGTTTAAACACCACACCTTCGGTGATTGCTGATAGCAGCAGTGTTAACTGAGAATAGTATCAGAACGCTTGGTAGTAACAAAATTAGGCTACTTCACCAACCACAGAAATAGTGGGTTTATTTTTCTACTGCAGCAGCCACTTTGAAGACTAAAGTTTGGATTACCTTTTTCTAAATAAATTGAAAGAAAATAGGAAATATTTCAATTTTAAAAAGCCCTGGAGTTTTAAACTATGCCGTCACTGATGCTCCATGGCTTTAGCAAAGTGATTAGTTGGAATAACCATTTCAGGAACAGCTTGTGATGGGCTAGTACTGAATACTCCCTGGTTCCCCTCATGGGTTAATTTTTATTCAGCACAAACATCATCCTATGAATGTAATATTTTGGCTCTGGAAAATGCACATTCCTGGGTTTCTTTATAGAAAGTGGGAGCAGCACTGATAGACCTACAGGTGGCGTAGCTTCAAGCTACAACTAAATGGCAGTAATCACAGGGGAAGGGGTGAAAGTATGTTCATTTGCAGACAAATGAACGTGAAAATAGCACCAATTTACTATGAGGATCCTCAGCTGGCCTGGGTAGCTGCTGCCCTCCACCTTGTAAGACTGTAGAGCGTTGCTGAACCAGGATGGCAATTTTTTTCTGTGCCCTCTTTGGAGTGTTACACAGCATATTCTGCAGGCACTGGGGAAGTTATTTAGAAGAAAGAGTAACTAATAGCTCTAGTAACTCAAAATGGGATCTCTGCAGTGTGGGAAGTTTATTGTAGGTGGCTTAGCCATGCTTTTACATGTGACAGAACAAGGAGCTCTGATTGCTCACATCTTGGTCTATATTCAATAGCAATGGGATTTTGAAACATTTATACATCTTTTTCCAATGAAGTTGGAATTTGGGATCTCTGACATGATTCAAGTCATTGCCAACTTTATCAAGAGAATTCCTTTTTCCTGGAAGTGCAAGATTTGCTCATTTCAGTAGACTTACTGCTGTGTTTGCCTTTTTATTCTTCCTTGGATCCAGCAAAGATGTGCAAACTGTTCTGCTCCCTGAGATGCCGTAGTGCTGGAGGTCAGTCCTGCCACTCACAGCAAGCAGTGAGCCCTCTTCTGCTTTTTAACACACAAGGGGACTGCCAGTGCAGTGAGATCACTAGGAGGAAAGCAAACTCAACAGTAAGATAACACTGCCCCTCTGTTCTACGTGGACTGCAGGTTTATGTGGCAGAAATACATCATCAGAAAAGAGGTGACAGTTTGCTGGATTTGCAAAGGAAGGTGATTCAGAAAGACAACACTTCATTTGTCTTATATTTTTTATTTTAATCACTTTTCCCTCATTTATAGTTGGGTTTCGTCATATATTTCTATATTCAAGGCTGCCAAAGGCTTTATCAATAGTCTCGTGCTGCCTATTGGATATCCCAACAGGGTAAAGACATGTCACTTTTTCCATCCCCCTGTTCTTGCTCCGTTTGCTTCCTTTCGTAGTGATTGGTTACATTTTTTGTGCTTTTAAGTAACTTTATGACTGCTTCTTCACACCCCAGGAAGTTCTCCCATGTTCTTCTTATCTCTTTGGGGGCCATATCATTTATTCTCCACCTGAATTATTCAGTAATCTGCTGATGCCAGGAAGGAGAGAGTCTGACATGAAATACCTCTATGTTCTTTGAGGATTGATTTCCATGTTGATTCATGAGGGGTTTTATTCTTCTTGGAAGTGCAGTCTCTGCATTCTTTATACAGTCTACACTCTGTGCTCATAAGATTGTGTAATTGATTCAGAATTGATGCTTAAATAAAGCTATTGCAATTGACACTACATTTAGACTCAAAACGACTGATCTCAGTGCTGACCGTAGTACTGGGAAGTTTCCCTTTTACTAAATAATTCCAAACCATTTTTCACATCCCTGCATAGTTGAACCTCATGGAAATAGTACAAGACTCCACCCTAAGGTGCAGCATATGAGGAATTAATAGCCACAGGGCAAAAGAATGATGCTGGAGTAACTGCATCCTGTCCTGCTTGGACAGACTGGCAAATAAGGGTTCTGACTTCAAAGAAACTTTTCTCCACATTGGGCTGTTCCCACTTTTTACCTGTTTAGGTTGGTTTCCAGTTCTTCAGTGCACAAAAATAACTCCTTTAGTCTGAACTGAGCAAGGCTGATGTGCTTGTGTCTGTCTTTGGAGGGGGCAAGCTGAAGGTATATCAACACACAATCTGGGTGAGGCTGTTTTGATTCGCAGCTCAATTCACTACCAGGAAGCCACCAAAGTGGAACAGAATTTCTGTTGGACATTACAACAAAGTGTTCAGAGCTTTGATTTTTTTTTTTTTTTTTTATTTAATTTGTTCTTAGATTGCTGGAAAGCGTTATTGAATATTCATTGGGAAACAAGCTGGGAGCTATCCAAGATGGAGAGGGAAACTCATTGCCTCTTACTCCTTCCCTCTGATTTGTGTTGAACCATTGCCAGGCTTTAGCTTTACAAGGTTTATTTTTATCGATTTTCAACAATAAACAGTGGGAGGATCTACAATAAAAGATTTACAGTGCATCATGAGGAAATACAACTCCTTACCAAATATTATATTGATATACTCCCAGATGCTTCTGAAAAAGCATATGAAATCCTAAAATGAAGTCCAGTGATGGAGAACTTCCTCTCTCTAGTGACAGATGCATATGACTGTTATGTCTTAGGAAAACAATAAAAGGGAGTGATTCTGCTTCTCTGACCGTATCTTCAACAGCCCAGTTAAATCTGTCAACTCAGTGTAATCCACATAAACAAAGAATTTGGGAATCAAGAGAACTGCTAGTGCGTCTGAAGAGACCCGTTCTTTGAAGCTGCCTCTCCTGCTGCAGTCAGGCCATAATTAGTCACAGAAGGCCTTGTTGTGACTAGTAAATGGATGGACCAACAATGATTTGAATAGTCTGGAACTGGCTGGAGATATGCCTGGAGCCCTGAATACTCTCAAATGGGTGGGTGGGATGTAAATCACTAGTCATCATATAAAATAATAATAAATCTGACTTCTATTAAATAAAAGGGCATGTCCATTTTCTAGACCATCATGTAGCTTCTGCTGAAATAACCCCTGAAATATGATCTGATGTGTAAATTTTTCCAAGAGTCCTTCCTCCAGTTCTACTCTACTTCCATTCTAACACAACAGTTCAATAATTGGTGGCTTCTTTCTGGTCAGAAGGATGATGAATGTAGCCCTAAAGGCTGGAAACACTAATGTGTGCAAGTCTGCTGTAGAGAATGTAGTTAGAGCTTTGCTCTCTAAGCAAGTTTCTGCTACACCAGTCAGCTGAGTGCTGGCTGAAACTATGAAGAATAAAACATTGCAACATTGTTCCATCCTGATTCTCCATTGGAAAAAAAAGGGATAGATTGGAAACATCCAGTCTGGTGTTTTACTAGCACTTTGGAGATGGGAACTCAGTTTTCTCTGAATTCCAAAGGCAGTTTGTAGCTTTCATTGAGAGCCCTCTGAAAAGCCTATGGTTTTTGTTCCCCAGTGATAACTAAACTGAGTAATAAAATAATTGCTGTCATACCATTTTATTTACAGTGTTGTATTCAACAACAAATGGAAGGCACGCTGATCATTCTATCCTTTAATCTTTGTGTCTTTATACTGTGCCTTCACCTTGCTCCTTAGCCAGGTCACTAGTATGATAGAGGAAGAGGCTATGTGATAAGGGCAGGCAGAGATCCATGGAAGGCAGCAAATTCCCTTCTTGCCCATCACAGAGATTGGGTTAAGGAACAAAATCTGGCTGGATAGAATCACTGCCTTTGTGGGACCAAAGAGACACAACTTATTGTATTGAAGGGAGAACAGTTAACAGAGCTGTCAGAAATTTCAGCACCACCAGCCAAGGAAAAGCAGATCTTATGAGTGTGAATGAATGGGTGGGAGATAGCTGCTAAAGGAACATGGAAAAGGCACAGAATGACTAGATGGGAGACTTAAACATTCGTGAGACTACAGGGATGTGTTATTTTTTCCCTAATGTGATCAGTAAGTGGATCTGCAGAACATCCTATGCCAATAGTTTACATACCTGAAGAACAGAATTTCTGTCTTGGATGTAATTTCTGCATCTGTGCTGTGAAATGAAACATTGCAGTATCTGGACATAAGATGGGTTAATCGTGCTGGTACCTCACATCTAGGAACAGAAGCTGAGCTTTTGGTGGCCAGACAGACAAACTCTGCAGGGCAGAACGAAAGCATAGCACTGGGGTCATAAGCCTCCTGGGTACATCCTATTGGTGGCCTTTGTTTCAATTTCAGGTGCAATAGGGTGAGCAGTAACCCTATTTGTAAGTTCCTAATTTTCCATGAACTGGTAAACTACCTGGAGCAGACTGGTTTACAGTTTTTCCCCTATTTGGAAATCAATCCTTAAGCCATGTAATTTTTCTTTGCTACCTACAATTGTTCAAAAGATTGTCTTCTGAAGATGGTTCAGTAAACTGTACATCCCTGGAACACATTAATGGCTTAACAATTACTATGGCCATGCCAAGAATGTAAATGGAAAACTGTTCACTAGTGTTCATACACAGTCCTGAAATCTCGACGGATATGTATGGAAAAGGATGGGCAAAAGGTTATCTTTTTTCTAGGCTCATCTTTTATTTCAGGGTTTCTCTGCAGAACATGGCTGGAAAAACAGGCACAGGGACACTTGTGTGACTGCTCTGTTTTCTGTGGGTTCCCCTTTATAAGAGTTGCACTGTAGCAATCTCTTGTGCTTCCCTTTTGAAAGCCTGACCCATGCTCTCACTGAACTTTTGAGGTAGGTTTTGAATGGAAAAGCTGAACTTCACATGAAGTCCCACAAGGCTAGCAGAACATTAGTCTGCTACAGTTTTGATCTTCTATATTCTGTGGATGGATCTAAACTTATTTCTTGTCTACACCCAGCACCAAGATACAGCCATGAATGGAGGATGTAACAGTTCTTAGGAGATAGCACCCGGAGTGTTCAGGATATGAATATGTGGATTTCTGTTCTTCTAAAATAAGCGGTGACAAGGACACAGGTCTTCTGAAGGCAATGACTCCTGCTACAAAGACCACACAGCTCCTTCAGGCTGGTTTACATCTCTGTGGCAACTGGTGGGCACTAACCTGTTACAAAATCACTTCAGTGGTTGAGAGGAAAAGGCAGAACTTAAACATTCTGAATGTTCCAGCTCAAACAGCAAGACACTGCCCTGTTGATGAAAGAAGCAGGTGAACTGGTACACTCAAAGAAATCGGGTTTTTATCTCTTCCAAATCTTGTGCTGCTTTCCTGGAGGGCATGTAGGTCAGCGTGGCTAGCAAGCTTGTGTGCCCTGTGATACCAGTGCTTGGGAACTGGCGTTTACTCTCCTGAGGGCCTCAGAACAGCGTGCACAAACTTGTCTATACAAACAAACTGCAAAGCTGCTTCTAATTCAAAAACCCATAAAGAAGTTGTTCTCAAAAAGATGGCTCTGGAAATGTTGCTGTTGCCATAAATGGTCCCTACTGCACCACATCTAAATTTCTTCCTAGATGCCTGTGGCAAATCTTGCCATTCAAAATCAGTATTTGCAATATTGATTAATATCCTATTTGGGACCCTCATTTCAAGAGTGTAGCTCTTTCTGCAGTAGTGATAAAACATCTTTTTGCATTAGGTGTCAATTTTTGCTGTTATTGGAGGCAGCCTTCCTTCCAGAGAAGGCAGCCCTGAGACAATGTTCTAGTCCAACAGTATTCAGTAATGGTTTTGTTATTTGGTAAAACTGTCCTGCCAGATAGATCTTTGAAGGCTTTATACTCCCTGGATGCAAGTAGCAAGTCAGGAATTGCCTTGTAGTAAGAAACAGAATGAAATGTGGACATGGATGCTACTATGATAGCTGGAGACATAACAACTATGTTGTATAGGTAATGACTTCACCCTGAAGGCTGAAGCTGAAGGTTTAGATTGGCACCTTGAAAACACTTGGCATTTAAGAAATGTTAATGAGAATCTAGAGATGCTGGAAAATGCAAGAACTACCCTAGTGTGAGCCACACCTGAGCTCTCTACCTAGCTAAAGAGAGGCTTTACAGAAGAAATGTCAGTCCTCTTCTGGTTCTGACTGAACAGAGGGATATTTTCCACGTAAGTTGTCCTACAGGATGCCAGAAACTTACAGAAAATGACCTCTCAGTGCCAGCAGAGTTTAATCAATACCAAAAGGTGGGCATCCATAGAGACCTACCAGGGGTGACTCCAAGGATGATTTGACAGTGGGGTACTGGATTGCTCTGTCTGCTTGCAGCTGAAGGGTCCAAAGATGATTTGACCTTGTCACAATTAATTTTGGTGTTACTGATAATTTCTGCTGAGGGCTCCAAGAACTGTCCATGAGGGCATCATGGTTGCTGAGGGATCCAAGAACTGCAGACCATGAAATAACCACAGTAATTCAAATTCTGCATCATCAGACAGCCTGGTGTTTCCAGGTTTGAGCTATGCTTAACTTCAGAAGAATTTATGTACAGGAAAGTCAGAATCTGTTTTGCAAATGTTCTGTTCCTTGTCACCCTCTAATCAAGGTCTAGCCATGTTAGGAGACTTGCTGACAGCCTAGGGCAAGAAGTGGGAACAGCAAGTGTTCTGGTCTTTCTCAGTGTTTCTGCTCGGGCAAACTAGAACCAGAGGCCAAGTGCCAGTATCACTTGGGACACCTTGAAGCAAGACATTTTGCTTGCTCAGCATTCTTGTAAGATTTGGCTTATCAAGATTTGGCTTATCAAACCAAATAAAACATATCTTATGCAGATGGTCTTTAATGACACCACTACATGACACAGTAAGTATCTGAATGCTGGGGAGGTCATGCTCATTCATGGGGTATGTATTAATAGAGAATTAATTTGTCTGAGGTTATAGTAGCTTATCCAAGGAACAAATAACAGAAATTATACCATTTCTAAAACTAAACCTGATCTTAACAGCTATTTAAGTGTTAATGTAAGTATAAATTAGTGAATAATTAAAACTACCTGGTATATCACTGGCTAATGAAAAGGTCTATCTGTAGGCACCAGCTGTCTGAAGAACATGGGGATGGTGGAACTGACACTGCTCTTGCACAGACACAGTTACTGCTTTCTCAGCTCCTGCTGAACAACTTTCTCCCATGATGAGTGTTAGATGCATAGGTCCCAATGGCTACATGCAGTACCCCTGTACCAACACACAAACAGAGATGTGGAGAAAAATTCCAAGTATTCTCAAAGATACTAAAATCCAGGATGTTTTTTGGTTTTGTCTATATAGTACCAAGAAGAGGATGAAAGAAACTGGCAAAGGTAAAGAAGCTCAGTATAAATTATTTGGTTTTGATATAGAGGGTGACAAACTCCTATCCCAAAGACATGCTTTATGGGAACAGAGAGTAGTTTCCCCAGGCCCAGAGGTCTCAGAAGAGCTATTTTTACAAGAACGCTAAAATAAATGTGAAAAAATAAAGATAGACTTAAATAATTGGTCAATTACCATTAAACATATCCAGTGCCTGGACAACTGCTCATAGCTAAAGAGAAAAAGATGCAGTTGCAGAGGAAACTGAGACACCTTCACAGCACAAGGTAGTGCCTTTCTCAGGCTACTTAATTTATGCCTGCATAAGCATAAAATAATGGGATCACAATATCACAGCTCTGAAAGTAACCCATATGTTCTATGCTACTAGAATTGCTTGAACTAAATAAAAGTTAGACACCCCAAGAACCAGGAGGAAGTCCAGCAGTTTAATCCTGATTTGGAAATGGACTAAGTAACCACTCCTCAGAGGAGGAAAAATGTTGTCACTTTTCTTATCAAAGTAAGATATTTGAATCTTCTTCAACCCAGAATAGCTTTTTACCAATGCCACTAATTTGAGGGGATTGTAAACCCTCCTGTCAAAAAAACCCCACCAGTCTAAACCCTCAGAAAGCATTTTCACAGAAAAAAAAAAACCAGCTTGTGGGTAGACTGAAGGAGGGAAGAGGTGAATCCCCTTGCTGGTTGCTGAACAGCCATGAAGTCTTTTAACACTGCTCGCTGCTCCTTGCTTTCCCTCTTCAGCAGCATTCGAGAAAGTAGGAACATAAAGCAATTTAAAGCCACCTTTACTGGTGCTCTCTTAGCAATAAACCCCAGAACTTTGGCATAACAGAGGTCTGTGATGCAATTCACAAATATTTAGTTATCTCAGTGTTCATCTATTGGAAACATAAGGTGTTCCTTTAGTGAGCTTTAATGGGTACTTGCATTTATTGTATGCTCATTTTACTGTTACTTCAGGAAACATCTTAGGAAAGCAATATTGAACTTGCAAGGAACTGCACAGTTAGTCCAATAAAAGCAAATTCTGCTACCCTTTGAAATCCTACCTGCAGCTTGCTTTCATCTGCTAATGGTAATAGTTATCACTGCCAACAACCTTTGAACAAGGCCATTTTGTGACTTCCTTTTTTTTGCACATATCCTTGATTTAACAAGAAAGATGGGGAACATCTGTGGATAACATCCACTGGGCACTTTTCTGGAAGAATAACTTGTATTCCTCCAGGCTTTTGAAATCAAGCTTTTCTATCCCCTTGCCTTGAGACTGTTTCAGCCAGTTTCTTAAAGTCTTCTGACAGACTTTGGCAAGCCATGACAATTTTTAAGCAGCTCTTTGGTCTGTCCCTGTTTTTCCAGCTCTCCTCCTCAATGACAGCATGTATCCTTACACTGTGTAATTTCTGACAACTGTTCCTAAATATCTGATTAAAATCAGTATTTTAATGTGTACTGAAGGGGAAGGGGAGAAAGAAAAAGAATCCTTCCGCACTTCAGTTTTCATAGAACTATAGAATGGCTTGGGTTGGAAGGGACCTGAAAGCTCATCCAGTTCTAACCTCCTGCCACGGGCAGGGACCCCTTCCACTAGATCAGGTTGCTCCAAGCCCTGCCCAACCTGCCCTCAAGCACCTCCAGGGATGGAGCAGACACAGCTTCTCCGGGCAACCTGTACCAGTGCCTCACCACCCTCAGTGAAGAGTTTCTTCCTTGTATCTAATCTAAATCTACCCTCTTTCAATTTAAAGCTATTCCCCCTTGTCCTACATGTCCACTACATGCCCTTGTAAAAGGCACCTCTCCAGATTTCTTGTAGGTCCCCTTTAGACACTGGAAGCTGCTATAAGGTCTCCCCATAGCCTTCTCTTCTTCAGGCTGAACAAGCCCAACTATCTGAGCCTGTCTTGATAGGAGTGGTGTCTGATGTTGGTCTTCTGTGCTGTAGAAGATAATTCTCACATCTATTTCTCTACTACTGTTAGAGCTATGAATCTTCAGCCACAAATTAAATTCTTCAAATAAAGTTGAGCTTTTGTAACTTAGGCCATACTGAATGCAGAAAGAGATCACCTCTTTCTGTTTATCTTGGAGCAGAAGATCCTGTGCCTTTAAGACTCTAAGACAAAGTTCTTCCTGGAAACCTTTCTTAAGCCACCTATTTCACCACAAAAAGTGTCTTTTAAGCATGTATACATCACCAGATTTTAGATAATAACTGCTTGTATACATTCATATAGTACCTACAGCATTCCATCACCACATGGATATGCAATGACCACCACAAGGCAGATTTTAGTTTCCCTTTACAAGCACTAAAAAACCCAAATAAAAAAAGCCAAAATAATTTATACCTGTCCTTCAGCGGGTTAAAGCAGGTCCAGCAGGTCAAAGGTGATCCTTCCCCTCTACTTTGCTCTCGCGAGACCTCACCTGGAGTACTGTGTGCAGTTCTGGTGTCCTCAACATAAAAAAGACATGGAACTGTTGGAACAAGTCCCAAGGAAAGCCGTGAGGATGATCAGTGGGCTGGAGCACCTCCCATATGAAGATGGGCTGAGAAAGTTGGGGCTGTTCAGCCTGGAGAAGAGAAGGCTGCGTGGAGACCTCATAGCAGCCTTCCAGTATCTGAAGGGGGCCTACAAGGGTGCTTCAGAGAGACTTTTCATCATGGACTGTAGTGACAGGACAAAGGGTAGTGGGCTTAAGCTTACACAGGGAAAGTTTAGATTGGATATAAGGAAAAAGTACTGTGAGGGTGGTGAGGCACTGCAATGGGTTGCCCAAGGAAATTGTGAGTGCTCCATCCCTGGCAGTGTTCAAGGCCAGGTTGGAGAGGGCCTTGGCTGACATGGTTTAGGGTAAGGTGTCCCTGCCGCAGGGGGGTTGGAACTTGATGATCTTAAGGTCCTTTCCAATCCTAACTATTCTATGATTCTATGATTCAATTTCCAGTATTTTAGACACTTAATTCTTTTGAAGAATAACATATTGGGTTTCTTAACAGATGAGAAAACACAAACTGGAAGTAAGCAGCTAGCTGCATGGGTAGCAACGTAAGCCACATAGAAAAGAACAGATTAAAGCAAAGCAAACTTGAATAAAACCAAAATAAAACAAGCCTCTTGGTAAAACTGTACCTTGTTAAATAGCAGAGGCTCTTAGCTATGCCTGCAAGAGAGTCCAACTCACTAATTAAGGCTGGAGCCTGTCTCTGGCTAGTTCACTGCTGGCTTACAAACTTTTATGTTTCAAAATCTATTACCTGCATTCTCAACATAAGTTTATCTAAACACTTTCCATTAGCCAGCTTCTAAATATGATATTAAAGCATGTTAGTCTTAGGGTTTGATCACAAGGACAAGGTACTGTTCTACATTTTCACTGCAGCTCTTTAAAAATAAGCTTCTGTAAACACATAAAGAGAGTGCAGACACTCTTATTTGACCAAGTTTTAACATTTATCTTATACACAATGGGGATGAAATTGGATTTAAGTGTAATTTTTACAAGCACACACATTCCCCCCCCCCCCAATTTGCGATATGGGAATGAAAAAATAGCTTGCTGTGTGCAGTAAGTTGCTGAATTCAAGTGCAATTCACTTCTGGAACCTCTGTAATAATACAACCAACAGGGGGCTGTCTGGCTACATGATAGTATTGAATCTGCAGCGAAATCCTTTTCCTATGTGTAAAACCTACCATCCCTGCACACTTCCTAAAACTGGCTGTCGCACAGGTAATTTCATAGATTTCTTACCCTCCAACACAGCAGAGCTCTCCATCTTTGTCTGATACTACTGGAAATGTCTTTTGTTGTCTGAAGCTTCATTATGGATAATATAGTTTATATATTTACTGCTATGTCTGAAAATAACAGATACTGCTTATTGGAAGAGGGAGATTTTCACATTGTCTTGACAGGAAAGGCGAGTCACAGCTGTTGCCATATCCTAAGAAGCTGTATCTATGTGAATATTTTTGTGTTAGTGTCATATGTAGATATCAATCTTTTGTAGAAGAAGCAGACCAAGATGTTGTTAGCCCCTTTGATACTTATTTAAAGAGCAAATATGCAAAGGCTGTCTACAGGAGTACCAAGAAAGGAAGAATAAGGTCCTGAATATTCCTTACATTGCCTTAAGCAATTGAAATTAACTTTAACACTGGACTGCCATTCTTGGGAACAGAGGGAACTTTTCCTTGGTGCCAGCACTGTTGCTCACACAGAAAGCACATTCAGCTGGCTGAGCTTACAAAAAATGAACCCAAAGTCATTCAGTGAAACCACCATGGAAGTATCAGAGCCAGGTTAATATTGAAGGAAAAAGGAAGACTCTGTCAGTCCCAAACTTGTCTGGCTTGAGAATCACAGGACTCTTGAACCATGTTCATATATTATTGTTGACTCTTCTAGCTGGGCCAATAATATAATCCCTGAAGCTTTTCCTTTGCCTTTAGATCAGTAAAATATTAAAAATGTATACATTTGACTTTATATTCTATAATTTATACCTTGTATATTTCAAATTTTATAATACTTAAAGATTTTTGGAGTATTTTATGAGAGATTCTAGAATGTTTTACTTTTAAAACCACTTAAAAGTGTAAAAGCTGCTGACAGAAAGTTGTTTTATAGGTAATAAAGCCACATGCTTGCCCTGCAGAAACCATAGGGAAATGTGAAACTTTCTATCCATGGCTGTCTCCTATGGCTATAAACAGCAGAAGAAAGCATTATGAATATATTATTCCCATCTCTCAACAGAAGCTATGTAAATCAGTTTCTAGCTACTTAGCACTGTAGACTTCAGATTGGAGATTTGAACTGGATAAATGCTGATATAACTAATTTGTTAATTTCAGAACTTTTAAACACAGGATTCAAATTTTACATTGAGAGATGGAAGCAATATTAGATAAATTTTATTTACTAACGCAGAGCTATAAGCAAATCAAATCTGGGAAAAAAAAAAAACTGAGTTTTTGCTCCTCAGAGTCATTAAATAACTTACAACAGAAATTAACTGTTTCATTTAGGCTGCTAAGGTAATATCCCAATGATATTAGCTCCCTCACAGAAAGATGAACGTCACTTGTGCCATTGTTTTTCCTCCACCATTTTTTCTTATTTCTGCTTATAGTTAAATATTTTCTGATACACACTTACAACTGCCACCTTAGAAAGGAGATTCACATATATCACAGATATAAGTTTTCCTTCAAATTCTTTTAAATGAAAAATTGCTGCTCTGCTTCAATTTAAACTGTGGTAAACCAGCAGCTAACCACTTTGGATATATTTCTATCATTTCTTGAAACTTCTATGACAGGACATGGTGAGGAAGAACACAAAAGCAGTCTATAAACATTTCAAATTTTGATCATCACGGATTGAGAGAGACTTCCCCCAATATTTAACAAGATACCATGATTAGGAGAAGAGCTGAAACATTTTCAGGTCTCTATATCCAAATATCAAGATCAGAACAACTTTCACTCAATAAAGTGTGCTATATGCAGTACCAAGAAAACTGCTTTTGAAATTCGAAGAACAATGGCCTGCAAAAGTCCTAAATACATAGGTGTAAGTCACTCAACATTTCTAAAGATGCACTGTTTTCCACTGTACAGAAAAAAAATTGTGTTCATATTTTAGTTCATTCTTTTTGCAACATAGATCCTTATAGGTAAATTTATTGTAAAATATGCTGAAGCTCAAACATGAACATTACTTTTAGTGTGTAAAAGATTCTGCAGAATACTAAAGATATTACTCATGAAACCACATTACAAAAATGGGACAAACAAGTGTTTAATATTAATAGCTATATATGCAAAATGAATCCCTGACAAGACTGGACACAAATCACAACTTTTTGGAGTTCACAGGACTGGATGAATAGACCATGAATCAACAACGTGGAAACTCAGTTTCTCATCTTCAGCTGACAACAAGGAAAGTTGATTACAAACCTGGTTTTTAAAAGATGTACAATACTCACCTCTTCCTCTCAGATCAGAATAAAGGCCACAGAAAATTCCTTGAGGATTACTGTAGTACAGCTACTAAATAAAAGTGTTGTGTTTTTAAATCAAGAACCAAAAGCCCTTCAAGGTAAGTACCCTATTTTAAATGTGACATGGAGATGTTGAAACTATAGTAGCATGCAAGAATGTGAGGTAACTTGTTTAAGAAGAGACTCAACAGACATCACATCACATGATATTTTAATTCAAACAACATCTCCTAAGAAGCTCAGCTGCAAATGTGAACAGCCAGTGTTTCCTGTTAGGCTCTTAAGTCAGACACCTCTGAAAGGAGGAATACAAGTACTATGAAAACAACAGCCTGGTAAGCTGTTTAGCAACATATAAGGATAAAAGCAGAAAAACATCACATTCACTTCTCAGGAATTCTCATTTGACATAACCACGAGGACATGGTTTCCTCTACTTGCAGTCTTTTGTTCTGTTGCCTACAGAAATTTTCTACCTATAGCAGCATCAGGCTTCTTGTATGCTCAGCCCACAAACATCTTCCCTAGCTCAGTACCACACCAGGCTAGTCCTATCATTAGATTAAATATTCTGTATGATCATGCAGATTGCTTCATAGCATGCTAACACAAGGGGGCAAATGAAGATTGCAGAATCTCAAAGCAGGAGTTACCCAACTTCTTAGTGTTCCATTTTGTAATCGTCATGTTCTTTTCACAGTTACTAGGTTGTGTTTTGTTTCCAGCACCTCCCCCCAGAAAAAGCATTTCCTTCTTTGAGTTCCAATTCCCATATTAGTTGAAACACTTTATTTACTTCCATAATGACAATGAGAGAACTGAAGCACCTTTGACATGAAGGAAGGCCGAGAGAGTTGGGACTCCGACCTGGAGAAGAAAAGGCTTGTGTGTGTGTGTAATCTTACCAGAATTTATCAATTCCTGATGCAGGGGACAAGGGAGAGTAGCAAAGACACAGCCAGGCTTCTCTCAGCTGAGTCCAGTGACAGGACAGAAGGCAAAAGGCACAAAATGAGATGCAGGAAAAACTATCTGAACAGGACAGGTTGAAGAATCTCCATCCTTGAAGATATTGCAAACCTGACTGGACAAAGCCCTAAAAAAACCTGCTCTGCCTGTCCCTGCTTGGACTAGATGATCTCCAGAGGTCCTTTCCAACCTCATCTATGTTACTTTGGAATTTCTTTTCAGGACCAAAATTAATGAAGTAGCTGAGAACGCTAAAGGTTGCCCTCTCTGTGTTGAATATGATGAGGGGGATGCAATTGCGTGATTTCACAGATGACAGCAAAACCTACTACTTAACAGTCTGCATTCCCTTCTGGAGCTGAAGCACAGTGTGCTCCTGTGAATGTTAGGAATGATCCCAGATGCGAAAGCCCCTTTCCCCAAGCGTGACTCATTCTCTTTGCCTCAGGCCAGATCCCTTTTGTCAGGCTGCTGCTTGTTCAAATTTCAACAAACAAACCCCCCCAGTTTTGCCCAACCTGTCCTAATCCGTTGAATTTTCCATTTCATCAGATCTGTCTTTCCACTATCAGTTCTCAGCTCCAACCTTTCAACATTAGATTTTTAGACTAATGCTCCTCTCACTAGTTGTCTTCATTCCTATACAGCTGCTAGTCTCAGTTTATTTTCAAGCAGGCCTACCTTCTCTTTTTGTTTTATATGAATAAAGCATCTTTGTTCCCATACAGTTCCTAAGCCTAGCAGAAACAACCCTCTGACCTGAAAACAGCAAGCCTTCCTTTGTTAAATGAGACAACTCTTAGGATCTCAAGAGCTGCAAAGCGGAGAGAGTTCCATTCAGCCATGGGCTATGGCTCTGTCCATGAAGGTAAACAACTGGAAAATACAATTGCTAATATTATTTAAGGCAACTGTGGACTGTGCAAAATAAGATGATCTTTTCAAAGGTTTAGGATATAAATAAATTGAGTAGGCCTTCATAAGCACTTGAAGTAATTTTCTTAATCTAGACGGGAGCTTTGGTTCCTCAGCTGAGCTCTGGTTCTCACAGTGCTCAAATTGTATTTTCATCATATCACTGAACTGTTACAAGCTGCTAGGGCCACCAAACAAGGCAGTTCAACCTTTCCGCTTCTGCTTCTTCCCACTGCCTGCCATCCCCAGCCTTGTGCCAGTTGAAGGGGTTTTCATGGTGAACCAGAAGGAAGCAGTCTGTTTTAACTATTCACATGAAGGCCTGCACTGGCACAATGAAGTAGTCAGGAACAAATGGTCTGGTTACTGGACCTTGACACAGCCATGCAAATAGACTTACTTGTTGCATGGTCTCAGATCTTTCTGAACAGCTCTTTAGATTCCCATCCAGTCCTAGAAGTCAGAGAAAAAGCCTAAGTACATTAAAGTACTGGATTCTACAAGAGTCCTGGGAAGGTCTTCTGCAAGCATCACAGTTTGCAATGTGCTAACAATAATCAGTGACCTTTAAAGTGAGAGGAACAGTGGGAGAATAAGGTCTTTTTCTTTTATAACTCACTGAGGCTGGTCTTTCCAAGGATTTCTAAATTTTCAAATGGCTGAAAAGCAAGTGCAGATCTTTAGTGTTAAACAGTTACAGTCTGAGCCAAAGAGCGTTTTTTTTTTTTCCTCAGTAGTCAACCTCATTTTGGCTGCATACCTTAAGAGACCTGTAGCAGGTAAATGTAAACACAGAAATGTTTACTTTATGAAAAGCTGTAGGCTATCTAATACTGCATAGTTTTACAATTGAGGTCTGAACTGAACTGGAAATTTTAGCCAGCAGTACTTTCACCAGTTGAAATCCATAGCAGGGGCAGCAGAGAAAGGTGTGAACTTTACCAGCACATACACCAGGCTGAAATTCTATACAGTCATATAATACAGATATATGAATCACAACAACTTGAATAAAGATTCATCTACATCATGCTTGTACCTGTGCAACTGCACCAGTAGCATGCTTGTGAAGCCTTAAGTCACAACAAAACTCCAGTGGAGACAAGCTTTTTTTCATTTTAAAACATCTATACAATATATAAGTTGAAGTTGTGAGCACTTATTTGAAAAAGGCACATGTATTTTAATGGTAAAATATAACAAGGCTAATAAAATGAGATTAGAAAGTGATACTGAGTCATGATAGTGAAGAAAATAAAATCTTAAAAGGAAACACACTTGAAGATCTTGACTGTATCTAAAATTAGTGACATTTACATAACCATTAGTCTACATTTGACTCACCACACAGTTCTTGCATACAGCTTTTAAAAGGAAAGGAGCCCAAGTAATTTCCATTCTCACTGCAGCAATTTCAATCATCTCAATGAGATTCCCCTGCAAGTGAAAAATCTTAGTGAAAGATGAGGAAAAAAAATTAGTAAATTCAGTCAGATACACAGTTTAAACTTCTAACCATAAAACTGTTGCCTGTCTATAGACTTTGTGATTTAAGAAATTAAATGTTTAAAAAGTTACATTAAAAACTTAAGATATGTTTGCTTTGTTTGCTCACTTGGCTAAAAACATGACAAAACATTTCCCAGTTACACTCATTGAGAAAATGCTGTAAAGATGAACACACAATTTTAAGAGTTTTAATAAAGAAATACTGATATTTAAAGTAAAACCATTTTAGTATTTTTTTCATACAAACACACTTACCAAAGCGTTGTTAGACAGGTATAGCTTGAGATGGCTCCTTTAACAAACCCAGCTTCAGTGTAAACCAAAGCATTCAAAGTTGTATGTGCCTGTTTTATATTTGCCGTCAGATACTATAAAGTCCTAAATATTATTCCTGAACAGATGTAAATACAAACAAAAGCCAAGAACGTAAACAATCAGCACAAATTATAACAAAAAAAAGGCATCCGGAAATACATGAAATACCCTTTTTCATGACTCACATGCAGAAGTGGCTAGCCTTACTTCAGCAGCACAGTTAATACTGGAGATATTTACAGTCTTAACACCAATATTTACGTGCTGCTAAGGTATGACAGACATCAGCATCACAAGATTGACTAATTCATAAGTGGTATTTCTCTTCAGGATGATGAAATCCTTGTTTTTTTGAGGCAGCACAATATGGCCTGCACCTTTTCAAAACCCACAAACCATTATGTGCTGCTACGTTATGCCAAGGTGTCTACCATACTTCAAGGAAATAGAAACACATACTGAAAGCTGAATGCAGAATTTTCTTATTGAACATTAATTTCCATGTAGCGACATCAGCTGTATTAATAAACTATAAAATGTGTATTAGGCATTTTTCCATTGCCAAGCTGTTTATTCATATTGAAGCTCTAGATCTAGACTTCATTGTCAACTGTGCACAATACCTTCATGGGACACAAACCAGGAACTGAACAATTGTGTGCCTGATTAGGGGAACTAAAGGATATGCAGATGTTTACTTCAAAACAAAACGTTTGGGTTATTTTCCAATCTAACTTCTGGTCATCTGGAAGCCTGATGTGGGGGAAAAAAAAAACAAAAACGCAAAAAAAACCACAAACCACCAAAAACTAAACAAACAACCCAACCAAAAAACAAACCAAAACTCAAGAAAACCTGTCAACTTTCATGTGTAAGAAAATAAGAGTTAATTTCAAAATAAGCTTCTGTCAAGTACTGTGTCAGTCTCCAAGCAGTTTGTTACATCTGCAGGCTACTCTTCCCACAATTTTGGGGCAGACAGATTTATAAGTGCTTCTTAAACCATTTCAGATAAAAAAAAAAAAAAATTACTCCTCCCCCCCCCCCCCCAAGATTGTTAGCAAGAACAGTAACTTATCTGTTATTAGGATTAGGAGTTCATCTTCTAGAATGACCATGCTACTTTACGTGTAGAGGTAGACAGGGAGTTCACATCCCAGCCAGATATCCTTTTGTTACACTAAATTATGCAGCATTTCAAGTGTGTACAGTCCTTTCACTGGTTCCCTAGATAACCAAATTATTAAGACAAAAAATACATACACAGCATGGACCTAAGCACTCCATTCCATTGTAATGAGCCTTTACTCAGTTCATGATAAAACAGCTTCTGTAAATTATCAGGACTATCTGTAAGCACAAAAATGTTCAGCAGGCCACAAGGGGAAGTAAAGTTCAGTTAGTTTTCATTTTCTCCCTTCCTATTTTTGCTCCTAGAGTTACACAGCAGGCTGATCTCTGCAAGAAGGGTTTGTTGCTACAAATGTGCCATTAAAGTGAGATTTGCTAGTGTAAGAGTTTACAGGTAGCTGCAGCAACAATGAGGTTTTTACACAGCTATCAGGCTAAAAATGCTCATTTAGGAACTGTATAAGAGACATTTCCAGTATATTTTAAACATGCACAACTATATTTACACATTCCCTCCCTCTTACTACCTATATTTACTCATTTATCTTAAACTGGACAACTATAAAATAGGCAAACTAGATTCTATAGGCACAACTTACAAAGTACCTTGGTGAGGTAAAACCTGAATGCAGAGTCAAAATAAACTTAACTGTAAAGGAATGCTGTGACAGCTGGCCTCCCCCCCCCTTGAAGAAACTGTGCTAAGGAAAATCCAATGGAGAAAGAGGTTGAGAAAAATTTCCACCATACGTATCTGTAACATGGAAGTCAAAGATGAACATAGATGCAGGTAAAAATGCTAGACAGCAGTAAGAGATGTGGAAATAGAATACAAAAGATGCTCTCCAGCAAGAGAAAACACTCTTACCTGTAGATTTACCTTAAAAGATTGAAAGGAAATTACTCAAATAGCTGCAACACTTAATACCTTTAGAAGTACGTTTCTTATTTGTATGTTCAGGCCAAATTCCTCACTTGTAAACTACATGTGTGTTTAACTAGATATTGTTGTTTCATTTGCCTATTTGTTTTTAGCTTTTAGCTTCACCATGGAGGTTTTTTTCAGTTGCATAAGTAAATCCCTCTAAAATTAAACTAGACATATCATGAAATGAAGACTTGGCAAGACTATTATGCTATTTTCTATAGTAAGTACATTGATAAGAGAACTTACAGGTAATTCCCCCCACCCACCCAAAACATGAACACAAAACTTCACATGCGTTACAGGATTGAGGGTGGAGTGGAAGTAGTTTATGGCTTTGGATTTTATTTTTTTTTTTCTTTAAACTTTACTACCAAAAATGCTCCAAAACAAACCAACAAACAAACAAAATCAAACACAACTGTATCTATTTTCTAAGTTGGTATTAAAATGATATTTTATCTGTAAGGAGAATAAGCAAGTTTTCACGTAAAAATTAAGACACTATATGTGAGAGAAGGAGTGGAAGGGGGTTGAAGAACAGGAAGGATGAAAGGAAGAAGACTAAGATAAAAAGCACTGACAGCTAAGCCAGAAATCTGAAATCCACGAGTGTCTGCACAAAGCTTTGTACCTCTATGTTTTGTTCACAGAGCTAGTATAGTCATACTATAAAGAGTGCTTCTCCTACCTCTATTGTATCTTAAGATGGAGTTTGTGGGTGAGAGACAGAAGACCTCTATAAATGCAGAAAATCATGTATGCAAGCATTTCCATTAGATTCCCCCCAAGTCCCTGGAAGCAAAAGGTCTGATAAGGAAGGTGGAAGGAAGGATACTGAAGACACAGAACTGAAATTCAACAGAAGCAGGTTCTCCACACATACACAGAAGCCAGGAATACCATTAGAAAAAAAAGCTGGTACAGTAAAAAAAAAAAAAAAGGGTGTGTTATTTTTATATTGGGGTGTTCCCAATAAGGGGCCTTTCCTTGATTTCACTATTAGTTGATTTCTCAAAGACCAGGCCTAATAAAAAAATATCACGTTCAGTTTTATTGGTTTATGTTTAGGAGTTTATTACAACATGAAGCCCAATCCAATCCCTTTCTGACCCCATGAAAACCAGCTACATCAGAATTTCTGGCTACTATAACTACTAATAAGCTCCTAAAATGCTACTGTAACTACTAATAAGCTCTTTAAGTGCTATGTAACATATTGTATCCAAAAACGTACCACTAGCCACCAATCTGACAATTAGTGATCTGGAGTAAAACATATCAAGGCCTTTCTATTAAGTACTGTATATTGTCTCAGTTGCCCCAGAACATAAGATAAAACACTTCCCTTGTGCCTTTTGCTCATACAACAAAAACACTCTTCTGATATTTCTTGGCCAAAACACCTTCCTCATCGATAGATACACATAATTTGCACACAACCATATTCCATTGCTTTTGCTACTTACTAATGCAAAGCAATACAGTTCCACTAGAAAAACAAGTCTTGCTTCACTGTTTATTGTGACCCTTTCCCAACCTTATTACAGTTTAAAATTAGAAATATGAAGGTGAAAGACACCCAAAGGCTCTTGGTGTCCCACTGTCTAAAACAGTACATTATTTGTCCACCAGTGCTACTCTCTCCCATTGCACAGACATCAGAGTACATCTCTATAGCTCAGCTTTCCCAGGTTAGGTTCTTAGTTTGAACTAGAAATGAGACAGGCTTTGCACTCAAATGGCACAGTATGAAGTTAGGCAGCTCTGACAAGTGTGTCCTGTTCTGTGCATTCCATGATAACTTACTCATATGGTAGACAGGACGTTTTGCAGTGATACACTTTTTGGACAACTGCTGGTGAATTTGCAAAGCTCTCCTCTCAGAGTTCACAGTTCAGTGCCACGAATACACCATTAAATATGAATAAATACACTGACAGTTCAACTCTTGCTGCAAATATGTATTGTTTTTAATACTAAATTCATCTTGGAAAAAGACAGAATTAAAAATAATCTGACTTCACTATTAAGAAATCTAAACACTTTTATTCTCAAACATCAAAACTGTAAGACCTAAAAATGTATGTAGCTGTATCTTGATAATATGCTGTTTACTTCTCCCCCCCATTTAAACAATAGTAGTTTCACTTTATTTTTGTCATATACTTACTCAACGCTGTAATATTTATACTGCAAACACACTGAAATTTATAATTCTTGCTCATTCTTAAAACTTATATTTAGAAGTATATTCTTTTACTTCTGCTTTAAGGAAGCTCCTTTCCCCCTAATTCTTAATGTCAGCAGCCTTTAAAGTGATACGCATATTTTAAAAAGGAGAAAAGATTCAACTGAAATATTTCAAAGTATTACTTTAAAGCTATCGGTGTACTTTTGGCTACTATCACACTATTATTTGGTTTAGGTATAACCTATGATATTTGGTTAATTCGCTCAACTTGATTTAGGCTGCTTTGTGATCATAGAGGAAGAAGAATTAAGAGAATAAACTATACACCTTAATTGCTATTCTCCTGAAGTAATAGTAAGATTTTGAACTCATGTTTAAGGCTGCAATTCTAAAATACAATCTGTCTCTAGCCTAGCAACTCTGTGATAGGGTTGGGTTTTTTAATAATTTTTTTTTTATTAAATGACTGTAATCCATCAATAAATTAGCCCTACTTTACATCAAAAAGGAGCAGTCATTAAGGACTGAGCTTATACACACTCTCCATCTATAATAGATCTCTCCATACATTCAACCAAGCAATTAAATATTTCCAAGACTATTATCAAACTTAAAAAAATCACAATTAATGCTTTGGATAATTTTCTGAACACAAAGATTTTAACAGAGATATCTAGCACCAATCTGTAGTTTTGCTTGTAAATTATGGGTAAGGTCAAGCATAAAAATTTTGACAAAAGTTGTCTGTTAACTATTTTCTGATCATGTCAACTCTTTTTGCCATAGGACCCTGGCTGGGGGAACTGCAGAAACTGTTTGCAATGTAAAGTATTAATAATGAAAGTTAAGCAGATAAATGCTGATTATTGTAATCTACTACTACTAAATTTGAAGCATCTATATCATGTGTCCAGCCATCTCTCCAAGGATCATGAACAAACATATTTAGACTAGCTGGAGAACTACTGCATAAGATAAACATAAAAAACCAAACCAAAACCAAAGCCAGCTAAAAATAAAAACCAGGAAGTAAAACCATCAAGAAACTCAGAAGTATATAAATACCTGGAAATTTGTAAGTGCAGTTATTATCTATCAGCATCAAATTCAGTTTTACATCTTTTTTACTTCATCCCAGTATTTCAACCTCTGCTTAAGCTAGTTTAACTCATATTCATTTTTATGAGGTGCAGTAGTCGCCCCTGCCCTTGCAGTCACAGAAACAAACCAAAGTGAAGACAGTAATTTGGTGCTGCAGTACTGATGCTTCCATTGGAGCAGTGAATAGCAACAAAAATACAGAGGATTTATCTGGAAGGCAAGAAACTAAAGGTGTTCAGTTCTGACTTGAACAAGTACAGGATGTCAAGCAGTTTTTATAACTTGCTAGCTTAAAAAAAAAAAAAAAAAAAAAAAAATCAACCACCCCCCCCAACCCAACAAAAAAAAAAAAACAAACCAACCAGAACTAAGGGAAGCTGATACAGCACACAAATATTATCAATGTATATTTTAGAATATTATCTGTATATTTCAGTATCAACTCTAGATTAAAAATAAAATCAAATAAGACTAACTACTCCCACCGCTTTTCCCAGCTTCTAAAGAGTGTTTTGTCAGATGTAGATGCATTAACTAAACTGCTATATGAAATACTTTACAGGGAACTTGTAAAATGTAACAAGCTCTGGGTTCTAACAGAGTTGGTAAAAGTTGTATTTCAGAAAAGCTTTCCAGATCCCTCTTGATTGCACGCAACTTTTAAAAATCTGTCTTCCCTGCACCTTTGGCAGGCACACAGGAAGAAAACTGTGTGAACACTTTCAATCTGTATCAGCATTCTTTCTGCTTGAAAGGACATATAGGAAATTAAGAAAACTGAAGAAACATTTTCTATGTTCTGTGAACTTTTACATTTCATTTAGTGGTCATGAAAATGTTCCTTTCCCTCATGATTTTATCACAAAAAATATTAATACTCGAGTGGCAAAAATAAAGCCAGCTCTGTCTTAAAATACAAGTTCAGTTTCTATATCAATATTTTAAGCAAAATTCATAACACCTTTTCAGATTAAAATAAAAATCCATATACATTTTTTCAAGCTCTCCAAGAAACATATCCCTAGATTATTACACTATTACCTTCAGAAAATATTATCCTAGATTATAGTACATACAAAACCTGAACTATATAGAATCATTGCTGGCAAAAGAGAAAATGGAACAATCCTCTCCAAATAACAATACCCATACAATACAAACCAACTATATAATGGAGAGTTATTAAGATAGGGAAAGAGGTTCTCCTCTTGAATATATCAGATTCTTAAAAAAAAAAAAAAAAAAAAAATCAAAAAAAAAATCAAAACCTAACAGCTAGTAGTTTTCTGACCTTTTCATTCATTTCTAGCTTTCTTAAAGAATTAATAATAATAACAATAAAAAATATCACAGAGGACTTTCACGTTAGCCCAGGAAGCAGTCACAATCCTAGTGTAAGATTGTGTGCTCTCCTAAGCTGGCACCAGTCTTTTATGAAAGCAAGCCACATAAGTATTGCTGTTTAAATCTTCTTTCTCTACAATGTACAGCAAAGCATTTCTTGTCCTCAACAGAATACTTAATGCTTAAGTAATATTTTGCAGAAACCCTGGTCTGTGCACAGGATCAGTTTTCAAAGTACTGCTGGGAAAGTGGAGAAATACATTAGTCAGTGTTAACCAGACTGACCTCCTAGTTGCTATCTTATCTGAAATTGGTAAATAATAATAAATCATACAACAGTAATATAGCAATATATATACAGAAAAGGGACTGATATGCAAATAACACTGCCTGCACTACACAAAACCACAAATCTTAAATTTTTGTTTTGGTACATCTCAGTATAGTATGGGACTATAATGCTTAAAGACAAAAACCAGGCGCATAGCTCAGAATTCAACCCCACTTGTAAAGGGCTAAATTTGCTGCATGTCTGCTTCCAAAGATTTAGGGTCAGAGTGACAATGCTACAATACAAGGGTCAAAGCACAAAAAGACCAAGGCCACAGAACAAAGAGCTTTTCGTGTCCTAAAAGAAGTTGCTTTTTGTAAGCCTGCCTTCTGGCTCAGACAGTAAATTTGTCTTTTTCTTGACATCATCCCTACATGGCTTCCATAAAATGCCAGACAACCGTATGACTTACAAAACGTGAGACTGAACTCTTAGAAAGAAATCAACTCAATTGTTACAGGAATCCACTAGTTAACAGCAGAGGAACACCTCCTAGTAATTGCTAGAACTTTCATGATCCTTAGCTGTATTTCTACAGCTTTATTATTTAATCAGTCACTTCAGCAGAAGTTTCAGGTGTCCTTAAACCTTTGGAGTACAGCTTCCCAGCTATTATATCTGAGATTTTTGTTAATTTAAGGGTAGGTGAGGAAACAGCAGCAGCAACTCAGAAGGCTGTTTCAATCTTCCCCCTACCCCTCTGTGAAATATTAATAGAAGAGATACCATCTAACACACAAATGAGTATAGTCCCTTTCCAAAATATTTAGGGGTTGGTTCCCGAGCTCCCTGTCAGTGAAATCCACTACTCACAGAACTGTATGCACTGCAAATAAAATGGTGCTTTCTAAGGCTGACACTGATTGCTAAGCAGTGAAGTTCATTTTTCCAACTAGAAAATGAACTTCACTTAGGATATGCTTTTTCAAAACAACAACAATAAGTTTTGCCAAATGAAAGGAACTTTATCCACTGGAGAGGAAGAGGAGAAAAAAAAAAGGGGGGGGGGGGGGGGGGGGGGGGAAAAAGATAAGGATGCTGTGTGTTTTTTATGGCTTTATATTAAGCCAGATTTTCAATATTTCACTAGCAAGCTTAAAGTAAAACCATTCTGAATTAACTAGAAGTTAATATATTAAGAAAAAGAATTACAATACCTAAAGAGCACAAATAGTAAAAAGAATAAATAAAATAAACTGTACTCTCAGTCCTGTCAAACTGAGTAAATATCCACTAACTAAAAAGAAGACATTAATCTCTGAACAATCAGCATTTGACTTTTTTCCTGGTTTTTTTTTTTAAAGGCTAGTTGACAGTACATTCTTTGAGCAAGTAACAGTCTTGCAAGAAGTCTCTCTACTTCATAAACCAAACCTACATGAAGGAATTGGAACTATCATTAAGTTGTACATTATCTTTTTTAGCAGGTCTAGAGGACGACATTTTGAAAATCAGATCTTCCTTACTTCAAGTAATTATTTTCCCCTTCAAAACAGATGGCTTCTGCCTTCAAAGTTACTATATTTAATTTTTTTTTCAGTCCTACTAACTTACTTGAAAGCTGGAAATGGAGATTTAGATATATGGAATTAGGTGAAAAAAAATACTAAAAACTTACCTTTTGACTGGAGATCTACAGTGGTTTTTGAGTCTCAGTGCCAGCAAAACAAAAATTTTATATTTTCAAAAGGAAGCAGATTGCTTTTACACTGCATTAAGCTATAAGATGTCCGATTCTTATTTTAAACACTAAATGTAGCATCATGGGTTTTTTCTTTCTAAAAATCTAATACAATCAAAGAAATCTTACAGGAGAAGCCTAGTGTAACATATGAAAGGCCTACTCCAATCATCCTACACTTTCTGAAGGGAATGATTACTCCTCATCTCTCAAGAAGCACTGGTGCGAGTATACTGATTCTCCTTGTGGTGAATAGCAGCCCACAAGTTAAGGAACTGATGCAAACTGGCAGATTTCCCCTTCTAATTCTGAGTCATATGCGTCATCTTTTTGTCAAAAGCTGGGAAGAAAAAGAGTCTCTCTTCCAGCCTGCCACATGAAACCACCTGCTTAAAGATAGAACAGACCAATATCGCAATATTGGTCTGTGCATTGCTGGTACTTACACATTTGTTCTTGCTTTGTTCAAATAAACAAAATTCTGAAGACAGCCTGAATGTTAGCTTAACAACAGAACTGGTCTCTTTGATTTACAGCCAAAAATCAAGCTGGTAAAAGGAAAAAAAAAAGACACAAGACTCATGTTGGCACAAAAATGCTTATTCTTAATTCGGCAGTGTCTTACCTGCAAGACTTAGTATTCAGTTCCTTAAAAGCTTACGTGCATGCTCGGTTTAAGTATTCAGCCAGATTTGGTATAAATATTCACATTCCCAAAATCAAGAGTTCATGTGTGTGATTAAGACCTCTTTATCACTGCACATGATCATCAAATTATTCTTCAACAGTCCCCCTGCCCCAAAACCTCCCCTAAGCCCCAGAGAATCTAAAAACTTGAATGGGTTAAATTCCACGTGTTCTACTATTTTTTTTTCTTTTGTGCATTTTGCAATTTAAGAAGTGAGAAAACTATTTTCTTCTTTCACAGATTCACCAAGGTCAGTCATTGTTGGACTATATACTGTGTGATGACACAATCTCTCTCTTCCAAAGGCTCCAGCACCGATTAAGGTTGGGCACATCGCTTCCAGCTGATTACATATTTTCAAATTGCAATGGAGTTGCTGATCAGACCTGCAGAAAACAGGTGCAAATGTTTACTGTAACAATGTATTGTAGTATTTCTATTGATTTGTGGCACTGCCATAGTGATTGCAAGTATTCCTTATAAAATTGATTGTATTCCTTATAAAAATCCTTGAGAGCAGTTAAAGCAAGAACAAGTTTTAGACATTTATACTAACTTACATGAGAGAATGCAAAGATAATACTACTTGAAAAAATGGTACAGAGTTCAGAATGATCATGCCATTTTAATCTTAGGGGTTTATATAAAAATAAAATGTACAGTAATATATGATATCTATGTATATAAAATCAGAGAGACAGGTTTAAACACACACATTTATAGAATTGCTTGTTGAAATTTGTACTGTGGCAAAAGCATTTATATGGCTGGGTGCATACATTTCAATATAATGAGAGAATTTGCATTCCTAAAATAAGAATTCTTGAGTGCTTTTCAAGAACCATGACATCACCACTTGCATTACAGGTTATTATTTACAAGCATTCAAGATGTTCTGTAAATCTATAATGAACATTGCAACTGTGAAAACTGTCATTTATTATGTAATGCACTGTTATATAAATTGTTTAAATTGTGCACAACAAACACAGATGATCTCTCTCAGCCAAAATATTAAATACAGCACCTGATTACTCATCTTCAACTAATTTTTTTTTTTTATGTTTGGTGTAATATATTTTCCTTGATAAAATTATGGACAGAGTATCTCTCTGGTGCCTTATTCTGTTTGTGGTGTGTGTGGTTTTTTTTCTCCCCTTTGGTTGGTTTTGCTTTTTTTTTTAATTTTACATGAAATGAATTATTTATAAGTCTTATTAATTGCATAACTTTGCAGTATTTTGCAAAAAATGCATAAGAACATATTTTACTCACCATATATTCTGTTTTCCTTGATATTTAACAAAAGGCGCTTAAATTTCAGTACAATATTACCTTCCTTCCCAAACCCCGGTATCTTTCAGACAAAGGGTCAATGTAGCACAGGGCAGCAAATTAAAAACAAAACCCACCAACTAAGTTTTACCTTTTTGACAGTGGCAAGCGAGTGAGGTAAGACAATGTGGAAGATGTTCCTTAACTTCTAATTCACCAATGCATAAGAAGTGGCTTAGCTTCCTCCTCACTCAGTAGAGCACTCAAGGCCATGAAAAGCGACTTAAATAAATTGTTTAGGAGGGTAATCAGAAAGACCAGATTTGCCTGGAGAAGACCCTTGGAAAGCCTCCGTGAGCTCTGCCTTTTTCAACACAGGGCCACACCAACCTGCAACTGTTCAGGGGTAAACTGCTGCTTTGAATTGCCCTCTAGTGTCAGCCTTCGTGAATTCCCACCTCAATGACAAATTCTGTTCAGGTTTTTACATAATGGAAAGTGGGTCAGCAACATAAGTTATATTCATCTAAAAATAAAACAAACAAAAAAATTGAACAGCAATTTGAATGATCATTTTCAGGTCAGAAGACCATGAGGTTGACAAATTAAGGATTACACACTGAAAACACAAGAAGAAATCTGTATCTCTAAACAGAAAAAAAAATAAAATATCAAGACTAAATCTAAGAGATAACTTACCAACATTCTTGTATTTTATATTTCAGTTAGTTTCTTATGGAACGTCACAAAACTATTTCTGAAGCAAACAGTCTTCACAGCCAAATTCACTGTAATTACAGTGACATAGCTGGGATCAAAACCTTAATGAAAATTGAAGAGTTACTGGTGTAAAAACAGAACACAGTCTAGCAGTACTAATACCCTGGAAGGAATTATTCTCCCACTGCTAATTCAAGAGTCTCCTAGTTACACTCTAAAACTAGATGCAAAACAGGCACCATGCAAATGAAGATCCAGATTTTCAACCTGGTAATTCCAAAAAGAAGAGTGCAAATGTTTTCCTGTGAGTTTATATCAAACCATATTTTACCTACTCTTGAATTTGATTAGAAAGGCCATGAATCTAGGACTTAAAGAAGTATAGAGAACATAGTCATAACACTTGCATATCAAACAGCCTATGGATACCATTATCTTAAATATCATTACCAGATACCAGTATCTTAAATACCATTAAGATGAGCATATGACCCTCTATTTAAAAAAATCAGTTTGGTTATACAGAACTACAATCCCTAACTAATACTCAGTCTGCCTGAGAACTCAAACATCCTGTTAGTGAGATGATAAAACAAATGGAAAAAAAACCCCAACACACTGAACTGCTGCTTGTGTAACTCCCGTGCTTGGCATTAAAAGCGTCATTCTCCCTTCTCCTGTGAACCTGGAAAAAAAAAATCTTTTGGTGTGGGGAGCCTGAGGACAGGGTAACCAGTACATAACCATTCTTTTTGACAGGGAGTTTTTTTGCCTGTGCAAGACACTGATGTAAGTGTGATAATTTCAACAGAAAACTCTGTTCTGCAACAGACTTTTGAAAATGTATTTTGATTTAGAGATACACCTTCTCATAAGACCCATGAGAAGGTTTCATAGAAGATGAAGCATCTTCCTTTTCCAATTCCTGATCTTGACTAAAATATGGACTAACTTGTAACAAGAAGAGGCAAAGTGTTTTCAGAATTACTGAGGTGATAACACACTTAAGACCACAGTATATACCCATTCTACCAAGAGAAAAATTTTGCTCCATAGGAATACAGAAATTCTAAAGCCAAACTTTTGCTTCAGCAGAACCACTTGAATTCCTGTCTAAATCTGAAAGTGACTTATGCTGTATCTATTCTGAAGTAAGAAATTAACAGTTAAAGTGGGGAAGACCATAATCATGTTAATAATTACAATACTTTCAAAATGTTTATGTCCACTTTCATAGTAATATTTAAATCCATTTCTTTCTGTGAGAGGGGAAATTAAAAGAAAAAAAAACAAAAAGCAACAATTAAAAAAAAAAAAATAATCACTCTTCATATGAACTAAGAGGTGGATGGATAAAATCATTACAATCTTTGATCTGAAGGCTGAAAAAAACCAACAAAACCCCCAGAACAAGAAAACCCATAGGACACCCAGATAAAGTAAAAAGCAAGCTCTATGCATATAGTGGGTTAATGGAAAGGTGTAAACCTTTTAGAGATATTTACACATTGATGAGATTTCTAAGTGCTGCACAAATTTTAAAAAAATACCTATTGCTGATTTCTTGCTTTGAACAGATTATGTTAGTAGTGTATTTTGCTACAAAGCACCCATTTCCTCAAAATATTGGTGTAAAAATTCATAACAATGTAACAGAAAAAGCTTGTTCTCTGTAAAAAAATAAACCTGCCCCCAAATAGTCAGAATAAAAAAAAAATTACTGTGAATATCCATATATTTAAAATAAATTTAAAATTAGCAAAGCTAGAAACAGGGGTTTATTCAAACACACTACTTAATCAGCAACTGCACCTTCATACATGCCCTTTTTCATGTTAGTGTGTGAACAGCAGTCTAAAACAAGGTGGATTAACAATCCATCAATACAGTAGCTTACCATTTAAGAACTCGAATTACATTTCTCACTTGCCCACCCACAGCTTAAATTTACGGGTTTACATAAATTTCTACTTAGGTTTTGGTTGAAATAAATAAATATATAAAATTCAGAGTAGTAAAGAAAGGGGCAATGCCTTACTTTCATATATTTGCATTTGAGTGAGAAGGATAAGCATTTAAATATTCCAATTAGCATGTTGTAACTATTTTTCCTAAAGAATTTGTATGTCATTTGTTTTTCTTTTCCTATTGCCTTGCAAGACCATTTTATCAACAGACAAGGAAAAATGAGGTGTAAATATACCAGTCTTAAATCCTTCCTATATACATGTTTCATTAAATGCCTAATCTAATAATAAAAGCTAATGTCTATTTAAGTCTAATAGTATACAAAACTACATTTAAAAATAATGTTAGGGCTGGATGTAGTTTAAATTAACAAAATTCAGAAAATTCAGTTGTTTCAGATTTCAAAACTTTAAACAGCCATGCCTAAGATGTCATAGGGTTTCAAACAATGGCTGATTTTACATGTGTTGTAATAAGCAGGCATGGGTTGCATTTATAGCTACATATCTCTTTCAGGAAAACTATTTAAGTTGCCTTTGAAAAGCAAGAAAAGTCCTTAAAGAAAGTATAAGAGTGGACAAAATCTGCAACAGTTTTTGGATGAGCAATAAGCATGCATTTCAAATCATGATTCAGTCAACAAGGTCCTGTAGAGCCTCAAGTGTGTACCTATAGTACGAATAGTAAAAGTGGCCATGAAAGGTGACACAAGAAGCACTTCAGCAAAGAAGTCTGTACATTTTTATCTTTTCAGCTTCCTTACAATTAGGTATTGCAAAACAGTTCATGAAGTCAAGCATATAATTTGCAATAGCCCCACCAACTATTTTTAAGGAGCAAGTACTGCAGCCCTTATTTCAGGATCAGTTTACAACAAAATAATGGGAATTTTGCTAAAAAAAGAACTATAATAGCAGAGGCTAAGAGTAAGAAAATAAAGCAAATACACCCCACGTGTCTCTTTAAAGTTCCACCTACTCTCTGGGTAATGAAAGAGCCATGCTAACTACCAAATACAAAATAATTCAATTAAAAAAAAAACAAAAACCAAAACCAAATTTCAGCATAAAAATGTTCTAGAGCAAATCAACACCTAGAAAGTGGATTCTAATGATAGTAACAACTGCAGCACTCTTGAAAGATACTTGAGCCTGTAAATGAGTAAGACTCAATTACTCCATTACTGCAAAATTCTTCTGACTTTATAAAAATTATTTAAACTTGTCTCAAAGTTCAAAATACTCCAATATCTTTTATTCATTCAAGAAAATAAAGTTTGCTTCTAATGAGAACATAATTCTGCAAATCCTTATTCATGGTTGTGAGTCATTAGGACTACCTGTGTATTTAAAAGTTTGCAGAATTAGGCCGTAAATTTAAAACCCCTTTGATTTACAGTTGTGAACCAGAAACCTGCTGAATAAGAATCTATGAGAAATACTCTGAACTTGTGTCAGACCAAGGAACAGTCCATCAAGCTTTCACCTTTTAAATATCTCACAAGGGAGCCTTAGATACCTTTGCCTTGCAATATAATCCTGATTTTCATTAACATGAATGTAATTGCTTTTGTACAGAAAAAAAAAATGAAATTCAAAGAAGTGTGCTGCGAAACCCTTATATTCCTCAGATAACAAGAAAAAAAAAAAAAGGAAAAAAGTTAAAAAAAATAAAAAATCCCTCAAACCAGCACTGCAGTACATTCAGAGCAGTTTCTGGACACACTGTGAAATATTTATTTATTTGGAAGCATATTAGGCATGTTACCCAAACACTGTTAGAGCATTAATCAAAATACTTTCACTGTGTTTAATCACAGAAAGAAGGAAAGGTTAAAAATTAAGAATTACCTATGCACTACTCACAAGCTGAAAATCTTTTGTAAAGTTATGTTTCACTTCCTATACTTTCTGTATTCCGAGCTTTGTTTGTCAACTGATAATTTTCCATAGGAGGTCTTAACTATCCTGAAATCATAGTATTATGTGAAAAATATATTCAGAACATATCTACTTTGGATACTTCTGTAACAGGAGGTGTATTACTGGTAAAAGCCAGCAGTTCTTCAGCTAACTAGCCATTAGTTACAACAATGAGGAAATATGAAATTTACACCTCGCTGGATTTGCTTGGTGTAAATTAGAGTTACTGGGATAATCTAAAATTTTAGGGTTTAAAACTTCTCTCATTTTATGGTACAATTACTTCCTACAAAAAAAAAAGAAAAAAATAAGAAAAAAATGCTCTTGAAGACAGACAGATCTGATTATGGATAAAAACTGGATTCCAGCTGAAAGCTGGAATTGCTAAAGTCACAACATGTTCATAAAATTTGTTGTACTGTAATATATTTTGCCGAAGATAAAATATTACAGTTTTTACTACTCCATTTATTATTTAAACAAATTTATTCAATCCAAGAGCAGTTAGCTATTTTAATTCCAATCATCTGTGTAAATGGTTAGTTAAGATTATTCATATACATGTAGATAGGTTATGATTACTCTGAATGGATTTCTCAGTTTCAGCCAAATTAGTACTTCTAGTGCAAAGCAGGACTTGCAATATGAGTGTAGTATAGTCCATATAAAATATTCTTAAATGCTCACTGGTTTACTATATAATATGCATTTACCAGCAAAGAGAGAAAATAAATAAAAATTTTGACTATTATGGTACAGACAGAGGGCTCTGAAGACCATTTTCTTCCTGTTTTCTACTTCTTTGCTTGTCAGGTAGCTAGTTTACTAATGCCTTTAAAAACAAATTTTGCATAGTACATTGAAATGCACTCAGCTAGCTCTCTATTCTAATCTTTAATACACCACCCCAACAAAAAAAAACCAAACTAGCTATTTAAAAATAAACACTATATCATCCATACTTTGGGTTTGGATTAGCAACATTTCAGTTGGAGTAATTCCCAAAACAAGAACATAAGAACAATACTATATGGAGAATTTATGCAAGTCTAATGATCAAGGCTGTTGCAAACTCAGCTTTTTATACATACTTCTGGCCACTTCATTTCCTTTTGAGCACAGCCTGTGCTAGGACTTTTACTTAATCTTTTATTATTTTACAGAAGGAGTGTAAAGAAGAATTATTTTAATAAAAAACTTGGACAAACCCAGCAGAACTGACCTATTTTGAATAATCTGAATAAGCTATACTACTGTATACTTGTTTTTAATACAGAACATGTGCAATAAGAGAAATGTTAATATAATATATACCATTCTCATGCTCCATCAACCTTCCAGAGAGTTTTTCAATCACAGGAGCAAGCCGTTCTCCAAAATCAGCTCTCTATTGAAAGGTCAAAACCTGCAATAAAAATGTCATGTATTATAACGTATTTCCAACACCCACAGTTTCATGGTTGATCCCCAAACATAGATGTAGGTCATTGGCTTGACCCTCACATTGTCTATGTTACAGGAAATCCTAATTTTAAAAATACTTATTTTTTTTTTAAGCCAAACTGACTTGATTAGGAACACCTGTGATATGCCTCTTTATTATCAGAAGCCCCCTGAAACAAATCAGCATGTTTCTGCTTTCATTCTTCCCACAGCATTTTTAGATGAAAGTAAGGCAAAGGAAAAAAAAAAATCCCAGGAGTTGGGGGGAGGGGAGGGTGTTGTTCTCCCTTCCCCTCCCCTCACTCTCTCCCCCCACTCTCAAAGAAGCAAACAGGTAAGACTAAACTACTTAAGGGTTGTGTGATTACTACTGTCATATTTCCTAACACATGCTATTGACTGTTAAGTATTTAACTGCTAATGTTTTCAAGGAGTTTTAATTTACTTTGCTCATCCAGGCAGTACCATTATTGCCTTTATTAAAATACAGCCTACAAATGTTAGCTTCTATAAATCATAAATGAAAATATTACAGTCACAGAAGACTATGAAAATACTATTTTTAAATAAACAAAAAAAGTAAAAAGAAAGCAGCCATGAGAGTAATTAGCCATGATCAGGCAAGAAACAAGTATAACTTGATAGAGGTAGTAACTATAGTCCAGTATCTACTGGAGGAAACAATGTATTCACACAGCCAAATTCTTAAATTTCTTTTGACTTTATTTTGACTTTTTCACTTTAGATACCATGACAAAACACACCCTATGCCTGGATAAGTGAGTAATTGATGCCTAGATCAGGTCACCTGTTTACAAATATTTACATAAATTTGTTCTTTACTCTTTAAGCATATTCCAGAAAATACTAACCCCCCCTTCACAGGTATAGAACTATAACAAGCACCCTGCTTTAACAAGAAAAAGGAATTTGTCTTTATTTTCATGTATTCCACACATCTTCTACTTCATCTTTTAAAAAAGTTTCTGTTCTTAAACAGAAACACAAAATTTTTCCTGAAAACCCCTTCCCCATCATGCTTATATTGATATTTAACATACTTAAAGATAATATTGAAACTTGGTCTTACATAAAACCACTTAAACTCAAAATACAAGCTTAAGCCCTGTTCGATGTGTAGTTATCTTTTTCTCAGACCTAATCTTCAAGTGAATTTTAGTTCATGCTAAATAGAATAATTCGTTGCAACTAGATTCAATGTTGAAAACTTTATTAATAATTTATTTACTGTGGATACATTCATTACAGTGTCTGAAAACAAACTAAACAGTCATGGGGTGGGGGGGTCCTATTTCTAACAGTGGTTTCCTTTAGACATTAGTAACGATCACTGAAAGTCACTACTATTTTTCAGTTTTGAGCAATATAACACTATCATCTACAGTTTTAGAAGACATCACAGGAAACTGTTAATAAAACCTAAATGTATATATTTTACATCTTCTACTGTTGTATCTGGTGATAAATTGCGAGACTGAGGTCATCCTTACACACCAGCAACTCTTCGTTACTGAGATACGGAAAAGTGCTTAGAGTGATAAAACTTCATATTCTCTTTAAAAAGAACCTATTTTTAATGATACATGAAAATACTAGATGCAAATATTGGAGTAAAAAATTGCCAAAGTTTAAGTGTTAGCTGCACCAGAGCTCAAGATCTGCTACCCTTCTCTAATATTCATGCAAGCCTGCTGGAGTTCTCACAAAACAACATATGAAGCTAAGATCAAAACTATTCCTCCATTGTGGCACTATGAGCAGCTTAGTGAATAGACACAGCCCAAAGTTTTTTTATTAGAATTGGAATATTTTAAAAACTTACAATAAAGGGTTAAAAACAAAAAAGAAATCAGTACAGACATTGCCTTACACCCTATTAAACATGAGCAAAAATTTTATATCTAGCTGATTCTAGCCATTTCTGAAATTTTCCACTATCCAAAATGAATATATTTTTCAATAAAATTATTGCTTTTGAAACCTAACTTATCTAGCTTGTTATGTATTAACACATCACTTACCTAAAAATTCTATATAACTCCTGCCAATAGTGTACAAAACAAAAATAAAATTGCAAAGGAACATTTTCTCTGAGTAACAAAAAAGTTAATAGAAATCTGCGAATGCACATCTCCACTCTGTCTGATGGCCCCCTTGTATTGGTGGGGCATATAATCATTTTTTTTTTACCTTTAAAATTCATTACTAGCTCTATTAAAAAAAAAAATAATAAAAATAGCTGTGAGAAGAGTCACAGGGGACTATGTACCAGAGTAATTTGGAAAATGTTGTTTGAAGAGGCAGCCCAAGTACTACTGATAGTAGGAAAGATCCTAATTTTTGAAATCAGGTTCCAGTGTTAAGATGTTTAGAACTTGTAATAATATATATAGATATAAAATTATCTGTAGAGAAAACTTATTGGGTTACATAAAGTTATTTTTAGTTTTAAAAACTTCATCATATTTTTCTGTTTATATACAGAAGTCTACAGTTTCATTCCCTATTTCTTCCACAGTCAGAACTAGCCCAAGATGTGCACTACCTTCCACAGTTAGTAATGAATGTAAATTACTGAAATGACTTGCAATGGGCCTTTGGGTGTGGGTGGATGACTGCATTTACAAAACAGAATGAATGCCTGCAGCATATTTGTAGAATATAGTGACAAGCCTCTCGGTCCTCCCTTATATATTCAGTAGTTAATTGCTTCCCAATACAAATATCAGAACCGTGTAATGTCCTATAAAAGAAATGATAACTGTTACGAGGCTACTTTTTATGTGAAGAAAGCTCATGTGCTTGTACATACGTAGAAGTGTTACAGAAAAGCTTTGATACACCTGTTAGGATAGCTTCTGACATTCAAGATGGATGAGATGTGCACCTTTCCTAGAGTTCAAAGGCAGGGTGTACACAGGCAGGTAGTGTGTATGCAGTTCCACTTGTACTTCACTACAGAATCCGACTTATTAGTCATCAGTATAATTAAGGAAATAAAGACTACCATTTAGCAGCAAAATTCCTTCCATGACATTAGATTTTGGATGGAACCGTAAGAAGTTCAGAATTCCAGGAGCTAAGAAAAAAAAAAAATTTAAAAAAAAAAAAATCAACCAAAAAAACAGAACCCCCCCATGACACCTTGTTATTGTATATACAGTCTACCTTTAAAACGTTACTACAATAAGCTTGCTATGTAAAACCACCCTAACACATGAAAAAGTTGCATAGCTGTAGAGTCACACTTTCAAATTACTGTTATTGCTGAAAATAAATAAAAAAAAATTAACAATCTCAGTTACTTCAAGCTTTAGTAGATACATATCTGGAAAATTAAAGGGTATCTCTTTGAAACTTTCGGTACAACTTATGGGCTAAAAAAAGAAAGGAAAAATAAATAAACAAAACTCCCCCCCCCCCCAAACCCTGAAGCTTATTTGGATGGTTTTCCTAAAAATCCAGATAAAGGATTAGACTGGGGGGGGGGGGGGGGAATACACACACCATGTATGCTACACAGCATACCTAAGCAATATTCTATTAAGCATAAAACTTGAACTTTTGCTTATAAATATATATGTTTAGATCTTTAAGTTCATTTGGTATTTCCTCTGAATATAACTTTTCCAGGGCCAAGTAATCCAGTTAATGTTTGACATTTTAACTAAGGTGAAAAATGCAAGCAGTTCTACGAGGGTCTATTTAAGCTACATGACTCTTTTCCCCCAAAATATCTCAAAATAAGGCGTACATCAAGTATAAGAAAGGAAAACCTACTTAACAGACACACATATTGATATTAGATTGCTTATTGCTTTCATTTTAGCCACACCCACCTTTATGTAATTGTAAAATATGGGAATGGTGGAGCTGAGAAATAAAAAAGCTGAAAAGAACAGTTGGTTTATATAGTCAAATATGTGCTAAGCACAGATTTTAATTAAAATAAAAAAGGTTATAAAATTCATGCTATTGAACACAACTGTCAAATAGTAGGGAAAAATGTACACGCACCTGTACAACACTGAATTACAGATGTTTTTTCATAAACTAGCTATGAGTCAGGACAGTTATTTCTTTGAAAGTGAAAGTCCGTGCCTGTGAGTGCACTTCCAGGCTGAATAGTGTAAATCTCTTCAAATCCTGATATTTGGAAGTATACACAGCTACAATGAAACAGCTCTGTGCACATTCCCATACTAACTGTTAAAAATGTTTCTGAAACCTCTTGGAAAGTACCGATGCAAATCTGAAGAAATAAGTGCTAAATTTCAATAGGATCTCACTAGTATCACTATTTCAAGATTAAACTGAATTTTCTAGCTTTCAGGGCATAAAGGTATAAATCGCAGAGACAAATGAAACAGCTATTCCCAGGGAAAAAAAGGACTGAAAAATGTAATTTGTGTACTGGATTAAAAGAATCCAAGGAAACTAAGGATTTGAGACAGAAAAACCTCTTTGAATTAGTGTATTTCTGCATTACACAGAAAATACCTTGAATCACAATCCAGTTGTCATGCTGGAAACGTTAAGTTTTGCATTTCACTTTAAGACTACACGCTCTCAGCCATGTACACAGAAATCTTTTGTACAGCACTTCTGCACCCCAAGTCTTCTCTATGTCCCTCCTACGTTCTTCGTTTAACTCGTTATTTTCGGTGGCGGCGGTGCTAAGCCTGAGGCGGCCGGTTTTGGCTTTGAACGCCGCGGAGGGATGTGCATGGGGGCTGGAGGGGGGGTGTGGGGTGTGTGAAGGAGGAACGGGGAGAGGAGAGGGGAAAGGCTGTGACCCCGTCCAACCTCCCAGCCCCAGCCCCGCGACCCCGCAGACAACCAGGGGGGGCAGCAACCGGTCCGGGCTCCGCTCAAAGAGCGCCTTCAAAGGGGCCCGATGCTGCGTTCGCTGCGCATCCTGCGCGCCCACCAGCTCGACGGCAGCCTAGAGCGCCCGCCGATCGCACGGCATCGGGAAATATATCCATACGCCTTCCTGCCTCCGGATAAAATAAATAACAATAAAAAAACCCAAACCAACCAACCACGCAAAAAAAAACCAAAACAAAACAAAACGGCACGGCGGCCGAAAGCGAAGAGAGAAGTAGGAAGAGGAATAAAAAGTAACGCTAGAAATTGTAGCTGGGAAGGAGCACGTTGGCCTGCCAGCGCCCGAGCGGCTGCGGAGCTCCCTACCCCGCTGCACGGCGTTATCCCTGCCCGCGCTCACACCGAGGAGCTGCAGCAACAAAAATATGTCTTGTTATGTGTCTCTCCGCGTGTATGTGTATGCAAGTCCGAAACGCGAGTGCCCACGCCAACCCCGGCCCCGAGAGGGTTAAACGGCATCGTGGAGGAAAAGGCACCGTGTCACATATTATGTGTGTGCGGCGAAGGAATAGCTCCCCAGATCGACTGCGAGAGGGGAAGAGGGAGTGGATTCGGCGCCTATCACAATAAGCACGATCGCGCTCATCCAGCAACGAAAACCCGAGAGCTGCTGGCCACCGAGAAATGACATAGAAACAGCCACCAAAAAATAGCTAAGCCAATGACAAATAGCGACCCGGGTGACAGAGACAGAGAATTTTGTAGGCGGAGAAGAGGAGGTGAATGGCCAGCTCTGATCACAGTATTAGGCTGGGCTATCTATGGGGAGGGTATTTACTCGTTTTTGGGGTGTGTAGGAGGATAGGAAAAACACCTACAAATAGCTGGCACGATTCAAATGGCCTCGGATTATGTTTCCCCCCCTCTAGTTCAGGAAGGAAACTCGCGTTTTAACGTTAAGAGTGGGGAAAAATAGCCCTATGCAATCCTCGATGAACAGCACTTTGGTCCTTCGTTAATACCCAAAGGGACAGAGATGATAAATGTGATAGCATGTGGCAGCATAACCGTCACCCAGGTTTCTGCTAAAGGCGGCTCCGATATCGTGACACGGGAAATTAAGCGCTTGAGTGGGAGGTGGAGAAAGCGCTTAAACGGAGAAGTTAATCTGCTAACATGGATAGGAAACAAACGGAGGAAAAAAGCGAAGGTTTTCTTATTTTGGGGGGAAGGGGGGAACCGAAGGGAGAGAGAGAAGGAGCATTAATCCGGATTACGAAAACACGGGGAGAGAGAAAGGAGGAGGCGGGGGGGGGGGGGGGGGGGGGAGGAGGAGGCGTGCGAGAAAGGGAGATGTGCATGTATGTGGGGAAGTCATCCTGGCTGCTGCTGCAGAGCCGGGAAGCAGGAGCCGCCGTGTCCCGAGCGCTGCCCCGAAATTTCCAAGGCGGAGAGGCGGGGGAGAAGGCGGGAGGGAGGGATCCGCGGGGGGTGGGGGTGGCAAGGAGGGGGGGGATCAGAGGGAAGCCTGTCATGTCATGAAGGAGCGAGGAGCACAGCGGGTCCACGGCGCGACCCTCCGCTCCGGCTGTGCCGCACCTCCCGCCCGCCCCGGGCTCCCCCCTCCCGCCTCCTCATCGGACCGCCGGAGAATGAGCGGCGCTCCCGTGATCCCCACCGGAGAGATGCTGCCCGTTGCCGCCCCGGGCGGCAGCGTTACCTGCCGGAGGAGGCAGCTGCTCCCGCCCGCTCCCACCCTCTGAGGCTGAGGGAAACGAGTGACAGATCCGCTCAGGAGCCACCGGCGAAACCTGCCACCACCTCCGGGAGCCTCCCGCCCTCTGCCCACCGGGATCCTGAAGCGACTTTTCTCAGCAGCGGCGGGGTGCAGGTTACCCCCGTTTACCGAAGACAGGCTTCCCCCGCCTGCCCGCCCAGTTCCCTCTGCCCCAGCCGCGCCCGGTCCCTCCGGCTCTTACCGCCTATGCCGGTGGCGGCACTCACTCCAACGCACGGTGATGGTGGCGGCGAGGGGGAGAAGAGGAGGGGGAACGGCAAGTAAGGGAGGTGACTTTCGGCGACAGCAGCGGTCGGCCGCGCGATCCGCGTCTCCCCCGCGGCAGCGATGCGATCGGGCATCACTCGAAAATGGCGCCGAAAGAGCAGGGCTCTTCATTCAAATTCGTTAGCGCCAGCCCCGCTGCCCTGGGGCATGCCGGGAAGGGAGGGGGGGCGCGCGGGGGGAGAGCTACTCGGGCTGAGGCAGAGCTACGGACGCGGCGCCCGCTGTCAATGCCGCCCCTCCCCCTCCCCCCTTTAGCCCCCCCCCCCCCCCCTTCCCCTCCGCTCGCAGGCAGCGCGCGCTCCCCGCCCTCCCCGCTAGCGCGCGCTCCCGCGCTCCCAACCCAACCGCCACTAATGGGGGGGGGGGGGAGAGAGAAGGAGAAGGAGGAGGAGGGAGGAGAGGGAAATGTCACCCGGAGTCCCGGCTCCGGGGGGAGAGGTGGCGCGGTAGGGATGCGTGAGGGAGAGAGAGAGGGGCAGCGAGACCTCCGCCAGCTTCGCGGACTTGTCAAGGTAAAGGCGCCGGGAGGGGGAGCGGGGGGGGCAGCCCGTTTTGGGAAGGTGGGGGGGGGGAGGAAGCCGGCGGGGGGAGGGGGACGTGCGCCACAGGACCTGAGGAAAATATGAAGAGCGCCTCCCCCCCCCCCCTCCCCGCACCCGCCCGCGCCGCAGAGGACCCCCGCAGCGCTCAGGTTCCAGCACACCCGCCCCCCCCCATCCGCGCACCCCGCCGCTCAGCGCTGCCCGCACCGCGGGGGCCCGATCCCGCCTGGAACCAGCCGCCGCTCCCCCTCCCGCCTCACGCGCTCCAAAGCACCGGCTCCGCGGCAGTGGCCCCGACAACCGGCCGACCCCCCCCCCCCCACCCCAGCCCTAACGCCCGGCTCCCTCCCCGTCCCGCCCGGACTTGGGAACAGGCTCCGGCGGTGCGGTGCGGGCGCATCTCGGGTCAGATAGGGCCCGGAGTGCCGTATGCTGGTCATTTGAAAATAAATAACTCTCAGAGGAACTTGGCGGAGCCGAGGTTCAACTGTGAGAGGGCTCCCGCCTCGGCCGCTCGCAGTGCTCCGGGGGGAAACGTGAACTTTCATTTTCATGCCGCGTCCTCTCCCCCCCCCCCCCCCCCCGCCTGCCCCCCCCCAAGTTGTGGCTGGTGATAAGGTACCTGAGGGTTGGGTTCGTGCTCCTATCCCCTTTTCACAGATGGGGGAGCCGACATGGAGGTTGCGAGTCGCTGGAAGCCGCGGGGGAAGGCAGGCTGCAGTGCCGCCGGAGCCGCTGCTTGCACTTGACTTTGGGCTGCTGGAGGAGTCGTTCCTGTGAGCTCCCCGCGGGCTATGCGGACCCCTGCCTCGGCAAAGACCCAGCGCATCACTGCGACCGGCTCCCCAGCGGGGCTGGCTTCAGCGGGTCTCATGTTTTTTAATCTGATAGGCTTTTAGAAAGGGAAAAGGAAAGCAGCAGAAGGCAGAGGCCTCAGACCTGCAGGCTGCTGTTCCCATGACTTTGGGGAAGATTTTCAGAAGTACATAATGAGAGTTTGGGAGCTCTGTTCCCACTGACTTTCAAAATCCTTCCTTAACGTCTGCGAGCTAGTCCTCTTAAACTCAGTTGGACTACATGCAGACGAACGTTAGCAGGCTTAGGGCCTAATGCTTCTCCTGATTCCACTGCTCTCTTCTATAGATCACTGACAAAAATGTAAGAACAAGTTTTGAAGGGAGAGGTAATTTCTTTTTTTTTGTTTGTTTGTTTGTTTGTTTTTTGTTTGTTTTTTTTGACTGAAACAGTTGAAAACAGCAGGCTTTGGGGCTCAAAAAGCTGAGACCATCATGGCTACGAACACTACAGCTACTCAGAAAATACGTAATTCTGGAGCTCCTCACAGAAAAAGTAGTATAAGGCGACTTGTAAGTAATCAAATAGCTAGTACTATGCATTTATGTTACTATTTTTTCCTCAGGTTCAAAGTTTGGTATTGCTAAAGAAACTGATTCCTCATTTTTTTTTTTAACCAAGTTCCTTAGTGAAAATCAGCCAAATGAAAAACCCAATGCTTCAGTTCGTAAAACCTGTCTATTAAAAAGGAGGAAATATAAATGATTTGCAGTGTATTTACATTTTTCTCTGATTTTATTAAAATTACTATGAGTGAAATTTTCAAAAAGTGTGCCTTCCAACTGAAAGGAATGATAGTAAATGTTTTCTAATTTTTTTATGTTTTTTTTTCTGAAGGTTATGTGGCTTTGAAAAGAGCATTTTGCAATAGAGATAGCAATGAAAAAAGTAAAGAAAAATACAAAATTATGATGTTGCTGATACCAGTTCTCTGTACTTAGGTTATGTATAGTTTTTCCCTAAAATAATTCCAGTTACTATTTTTCACACATTTTTCCAACAGTAATGTAAGACTAAGGTATAGAAGATACATAGTTCTGTTTAGCAGGACATACATGAATCACACTGTTGTCCTTTCAGATGTCATTCCTAAGGTTTCATTGAGATTTTTACTGAAAGTGAAATTTTTACATCCCCTAATAGGGAATACCTGCTCTCAGATTCCATAGTTAATGCACGTAGGCCTCCATCCTGTACAGACTGAAATGTATATTATGTGTAAGCACACTGAGTACTTTTCTTCATTACTATGGTCTTGCATTTCAGACTTAAGAAACCAATAGTGATACTACACAATCATTATTCTCAGTATTACTTAGGACTGTGAAACATCAACCTGATGTAGTACTCTTGATTTACATCTTCCATTCATATTTCTTAAATAATGTGCAATTATAATAACTTAAGGATCAGAATGGGTAAATATTTAACTGAGTATCAGAACAAGTGAGAAAGGCAATTGCTACAGTCTAAAAGTCCATGTAATATGAGGTCTCATTATAGCATCTTGGAGAGGAATCATTATTTTGTTCCCTCAATGACTAGTGAAGTCAGAAAGTCACAGCAGGAACATAGCTGAGGACAGAAGGGAGAGAAAGGGGTTTTGGGCCTCACCTAAAGTGATGTCAATTCTTTAGCTTGAATTTCCATTCCAGGCAACTTGGGCTCATCAGAATGATAAAAGTCTTATCTGCTGTCATAGCAAATATGAAGTTAAGCTGCAGTTCCTATAATGGACTCCTTTCCTCATACAGTTCTCATTACAGCACTACCTGAACACCTTCTAGTAGTGCCTGTCCTCTGTTACAGATTCTCCTCCTCAGAGTGTGTCATTATATTGTCAGAGAACTGCCTCGTACCGTAATAAGTGACATGACCAGCATTTGTTATATTAGCTGTTCTCTTGTTACCAGGGGAAAGAGCATGTGCAGCTGAATGTATTCCATTTATCTGTCTTTCCTTCCATATACGTGGTCTGTATTTATGGTAGTGAGGCAAGGTCAGTGTAATGTGTTTTGTTCTTCAAGCAAAATGCAGTTAGGTTTCTGATGGCCCTTTGCTCCTAGGCACATTTACTTCGTAGACTTGTACCAGCCCTGAGAAAGTTCTGTCTCTGGAAATGATATCTTTTTCTCCTTTGTTGCACAAGTTCTCTTATGTCAGAAGAGGGAAACTGTTGACAACTGGATCCAGTCTAGAGACCAAGTAAGACATTTCTCTGGGAATCTTGGATTTAGGCCCTGGAGGATCTTGAGACTCTGAATTTATAATTTAAAATTCTAGATAAAATCAGTATAGAGTGGAAGAGAAGGACTTAGAATAACCCATGTTGGTAAGAGGCCCCCCCCCCCCCCCCCAGCTTCCTGTATTTGGAATTTCCTATATGCAGCGGACTTTGTGCTTGGGTATACCAAGTTGAGGTCCAGTTGAGAGGTGGCAAACCCAAAGCAAGGTACTTACATGCCAAAATGGCACAGAAGCTCATAGCTAGTCAGGAATGGTTACAAAGCTGGGGGCTGTCTTCAGACTCAGGCACACGTTACTTTACAAATTTCCTTGCTATGTATTTCTAAGATTTCTTTTACAGCTGTAAGGATTAGAGGAATTTGTTGAAATGAAAACTGGCATTGTGTCATTACCACGTAACTTTTTAGTTAGGTTCTTTGGCTTGCCTGAGTACTTGCGTGTTACTCCATTACCTTCAACTGGTCCAGTTCTTAGGTAAGTTAGACCAGATAGAGGGCACCAACATATACACACATGTAGTATTTATAATAATCTTCTCAATAATTGCACATCTACATATTATTTTAGTATTCTGTGTTTGTATGGCATATGAACGTACAGCCAATAGAAATTCTGTATTTTTTTTCTGTTTTTCTAATTTGGGCCCTGCCTTGCCCCTGATGCTTCTCCAGCCTTCTAGATTCCTCTTCTGGATTCATCTAAGCCTCCCTCCAGACCTATTGTGTAAATTTGATACCAGTTGAAGTTTAAAATTTCAGCTTAATAACCTGGTAGCTGTAGTTGAGCATCCTCTTTCATGTATGACTTTTCTACTTCCTTCTATAGCCAGAGGCTGTAATCTAGAAAAGACTGAAGTGGACAGCGTTTAGTATTTTACAGTGAAAACAGAGTTCTGAACTTGCCAGTGTAGACTTGGTTTAGGGATGCTTCTCCAGGCAGTTAGGGCTGCAAGAAGTATGTGCTGTCTTAGGACTCACATCTGCTTAATTAGATTTTCCTATAAACTTCCAGATTAAAAAAAAAAAAGAAAGCCAAAAAAAACCCTTAAAAAATGCTCAACATAGTGAAGAGACTAACGGCGTTGCAAGGCTGGGTTTACTGTATTTCATTCAGATCTTACACTGTTGACTAACATAGCTATAGGCCTGACTCATAATAATGAACACATCCCTGAGAATTTCAGGAAGATTTGTTATTGAACTCAGGCTTCCTGGTAAAGTTTTGCTAAAATGGCCTAACTAATTTCTGAATGTTTTAATACTTTTGTGGATTTGACGGTTGTGAAAAGTGCTGGCTTGTTATCTGTAAAAACTGAAGCCCGTTGTTTATTCCTGGTTTAATTACAGCAGAGCAGTTGCCAAGTGATCTTCTCCACAGCACCCATGAACTTCAGCCTTGAACTGAAGAGGACTCATCAAATGGTGAGAAAATCATGTGGTGGTTGTAACCATGAAGTTACTGAGGGGATGCGCTATATCTTTTTCTTTCTAGAACTGAAGTTAGATTTCTGTAGGGTAATTGCTGGAACCATAACCTAATCACCTCCCTGCAGAATTTCAGCCATTGGTTTCTCAAGCTTTGCTATCTTCTTAGCAGTGCTTGGCTTTTCAAAAATAATTGTTAGTGGTACACTGAATTCATTAGCTAATTTCTTTATTACTTGCTTTAACCTTAGTCTTGTGCATGTGCTTAAATTTGTCCACATGCATAGTTGCAGCTGCAGCTGCAGTTGCGTCACTTAGAGGAGTGAAGTTCAGATATGTGGAATTGTTTAAAGATTGAAGCTTAAACTTTGCCTGCATTTAAATGAAATACTGCTGGAATGAATGCAGAAGTGAGGGATCTGGAAATGCTTTAGCTTGTACTAATTTGTTTGTCCTTATGCTGTTCGATTTATTCCTTTTAAGAGAGCTTGATGGAAGTTGTTCATTTGCTTCTCTAGTCTCCCAATTTCTGGGAAATTTTGAAATCCAAGCTTCAAAACATTTATGAAGTTTTAGTACTGCTCATAAATATCCTGAGAAGAACGGATAATAATTAACCATTTTATGAAAAGGTGACTGAATCTATAGATGAACCAATTCTCTTTCTAACTCACTGCCTTAATCAGATCTTTAATCTTACTGTAGCACTGTTCATTAGGTAACAACTCTTGTATGGATGGTTTTGTTAAGGATATATCTTAAAACCAGGGAGTTTCCTATTTTTACAGCTACAGATAAAGGATGGAATATTGGTAGCAGAGGGTTGTGTGTGTAAGAATACAGTTGTTGAGCGCTGGTATTGGCTTCTTACTCATTTAGGTAAGTGACAGCTTAAAATAATGGTGCACAAAATGATCTATAGTTTGGGAGATAAATCACAATGATAGCAGAATGCTGAGAGATGCCCCAGGCCGTTTTTGGTATCTCAAAAAGTGGCTCAATTTCTGTTTTCCTTTAGTAACTGTATTGTAGAGTAAGGAGTAAAAGGGACAGAACTCTACTAGTGCTTTATGATTTCCACATTTTCTTCTATCTCTATGGTTGTTACCATAGAGATTGGAATAGGGGATATTAACTCTCTACCAGCTATTGACCAAACTGGGTTTGGAAGTGCAATTGTGTTTAAATAGGCAGGACAGATGGTGAGCCCTTTATACCCATAACTGAACTACACCCTGTGTTAAGACTTACTTTAGTACCATTATCAACCACTGAACTAATTTAACCTTTGCCAAGGCTATTTACCATTTCATGTATTAAAAATAAGATTTAATACTTAAGCCGGAAAGAAGCACTAGTTTTCAGGCAGAGTATATTGAGATATAACCCAGAGGTCATTTATTTTTAATACACATTCAACAATCTTTTTCTTTTCACAGATGCTTTTTCTTTAGTTTTCTTTTTGATACCTGATTCTTAAATTAACCTTAAGCACTTAACTGTTTACATTCTGCTTCATCAATCTTGTACTTAAGTCACAATACTTGCATGGCTATGGCTTTTGAGAGAAAAGTTTGAATCCACATTAGTCCCTTGTGTCTTGTACTTGACTTTGCCTGTCTGATAACCAGTAGGCTGGATCCAGACTAATGCCAAAGTGAGAGCCTGCATGTTAGCAGGATAAGGAGTTTGGGCTGAGATTTGAGTGTGTACTCGAGACTACAGAGCTACTGAATGATTACGAGATGATTTAAATTTATTTTCAAATTTAAGCACTTCTTTAATTGTTAAGCTCAGCAGAGTTTAGATACTCCATGTGCTTATAGTTAAACGGTTCAAGTTAAGTGGCTTAAAGCTTTTCCTAAAGCATTTTTGGAGTTCATGTGAGTCTTCTACTTCAGTAGAATAAGAGATAGGCCAACGTCAAACAGCTTTGAAAAGCCCATTCTCGTTGTTCTGCTTAAAAAGATAATTTTGTTTCTTTGAGTCCATCCTCTTTTTGATTAAGTCATGTTCGCTTCCCTGACTCTTCTTATACCCATTGTTTCCTGCTAACCTTTCCTCTAATGACCAGTTTTCTGTTAACTTTTTCATACTGATTATTCTTTGTCTCTCCTAACTGGAGTTTTGGAGAGGTAACTATATTTTTTTCATTTTATTTCCTTCTTTCATCAGTTCCTAGACTCCAACAACAAATAAACCCCTCTGATTTCAGCTATACCTTTTTGGTGAGAAACCTACAAGTCAAAATTCAGGGCTAAGTCAATAGAAAGGGTATGCAGAGCGCTGTAGATTTCATTTGTGGAAAAAGAAAAAAACTAACTGGGACTTACATATTATTAAAAATGATTCCTTAAATTGGGACATCAGACTATGGGTTCAGATAGCAGGATCAAGATTTTAAGGTGATTCTTTAAAAATCACTGTGCTTATTAAAAAAAAAAAAACAACAACAAAAACCCACAACAAAATCAAAAAACCCTCAAAACCAAACCCCCCAAAAAGCACCAACCAAAGACATCACAAAAGAAAAGTCCATGTATACTGAATAGACTCATTACACTTCATGTCACTGTTCTTTTACTGAACTATGTATCACTGAACTTCTCTTAAGCCTTATGAGAGACAGCATGGAATTGCAAGAGAAGCAGGGATCTCAGTGAAGGGCAGTCAACTACAGTCTTGGTAAGTGCAAAAAAAAATATTAAATGTTATTTCTGTTAAATTTTCACCTTCATGAAGCAACATATGTTTGGGGCCCTGTTCTCAGTGGCAAAACAAAGCCAGTTTTTTTTTTAAACAGTCTCTATATTCTCTGGATTCGTGTGTGCTGTCACCATGTAAAAATCTGTGTTCTGTTAGAGCTGAGTTTGTGGTGTAACTCCTGAATGAAAAAAATAAGTGACATAAAATTCATTAGTTATTTTCACAGTGATTATGCTACAGTGTTTTTGTGCCCAGTTTCTGAACAAAACAAGATATATAGGACTGTGTTGTCTCCTAATAACTTTTGACTCCACCG